AATGGTAGCCATGATGGAGGTGACCATAATGAATGGTAGCCATGTTGTGAGTAGGTCACAATGAATGCTCACAAAAGTGGCAGTGACCATATTAACGACTATGTGAGAAAGCGGTGAAATTAAAGGGCGGCCATGCAAGTGTTGGCCATGATGATTGTTAGCCATGTTGGAGGATAACATTTTTGTCGGATGATTGCACATAATTGTTGGTTTTGTGAGATTTGATAACCATGTTGGAGGCACTGATTTCTACATTGTCCGAATCGATGTAAGTAGAATGTAAGCTTACTATAGTGATCATGCATGTTGGAGGACAAACTCACTGAAGCAATTCTAACAGCCGTGTTCTTCATTTGTTTTCTTAAACCAGATGTGCCAACAGCTCCATTAAATTTGAAGTCTCGGTTACGGCGTGACCTAGGGGAGCCCTTCATCGAGCTCGCCTGGGATTGCCCACTCCACGATGGTGGAATACCCGTATCCACATACCAGGTGGAATACAAGCACATAGGCGCAGCATGGAGAAACGCAGCAAGCTTACAGACTGTAGAGAAACAAATCAACATCTGGAAAACGTCCCAGGATGAGGACGTCTATCACGTGCGCGTGTCAGCAGTCAATGGCGTCGGGTTTGGTGAAACCTCGAACATTCTTAAAGTGGCGTTTGCAGGTAAAGGTGACAATACAATATACAATACAATATATTTCATTTATAATTTTTTACACTCGAAGAACCAATATATTACAACCTCTATACAGCTATTTTCGTTGTAGTCCCTTTCACAGTTCCCTGCGCCATCTTGAAAGGTAGCCGTGCCTTTGTCTCGAAGCGAGAAGAAAGGTGAGCTTGCAATGATAGAGACCTTTTTAAACACCTTGGACAATTATTCACATGTCTCTATCATTGCAAGCTCACCGTTCRTCTTGCTTCGATGCAAAGGAACAGCTACCTTTCAAAATGGCGCCGGGAACTGTGAAGGGGACTATTGCGTGAACAAGGAGTGACAAAGATAGGATAATAACGTATGTGTTTATATTTAGAGCAATGAAAAAGGAATGAATAAGCTATCAATCACACTAGTAACCACGTGACAAAAGGCCACGTGACATTGAAGAGGTTCATGCACAGTTTTCGTAGTTAGGAAGATTAATTCTAAAGTCTAATTCACTCTTTTTTCTTTATTAAAAGAAGCTCCTTCAATGCCGTTGGACGTCGTCGAGAAAACGGTCCTACATGCTAAGAAGACGCCCCCACACATTCACATCGCATGGAAAAGACCGCTGGACAATGGCGGGTTAAAGATAACTCACTATAAAATCGAGTACAAAAGTGTGAATCTAAAGAACTGGAATCTAGCAAAATCTGACCTCGTTGTGGACGAGAAATACATCATTAAAGACGCTGATGAAAACCAAGAGTACATAGTACGAGTGTCAGCAAAGAACAACATGGGGTTCGGGCCATGGTCAAAGCCTGTTGTCGTTAAATACAAAGGTAAATAAGTAAGTAAAACGTAAGGGTGCTCGAGTGGCATGCTAACGAATGAAGAATTAGCCTTAAAATATTTCCGTTTCCTTTGTTTAGCGAAAAAGAGGGTGATGGAAAATTTATCTGTGCCTCGCATGCAAACGCGAACAGTAGTTTTCACTTGACAGCCAGTGCCTTCTGCTGCTTCTTCCCTGACGAGAGTCACTGGCATCAACTACTTTTTAGACTTTTTATACGGATTTTATTTTATTTTTATATTTTTATTTTGTTTTCAATACTGATTTCAGTAACCTTAACTTCGAGGAAAATTATCACTATTTTAACTCCTTTTCTTTCTACAGATAAAAACTTCGTGGCTTTCAAAGCACGTTCACAGGGATCAAGTCTAACGCCCGTGAATAACAGTGTACTGGCACTAGTATTCCTATTGGCTACCATTTTAACAAAGCTTTTACCCAGATGATGGAAGAATTTTCAAGAAAACTAACATGGCGGCCATGTTGGAAGATATGACCAAGAAATTCCGGTAATTTATTCCAACATTTCTGCTGTGACGTCTAAACGCAAGTGAGACTTGACCAGACATCAATATCAAAACAGTGTTTAGATTTAATCAGAACTTAGATATACAAGTAGGTGTTTTATATAGGTAGACATTCAAAGCCGTTTTCGTCTTTGTAGCAGGCTTTGATTTGAACATACTTGATCAAACACTGAAGCGGGCAACAGCAAAACATGCAATGAAATCAGACTTAAATTAGAATCATTGTTCAAAGCTGTGCTTGAGTACTGCAATTTCTTGCAATGTTTTTCACGGATATATGGTATGCACTCTATATTTAAAATAACTAATACTTTAAATAGTTATTTTGAAATATCGTCAATACAGTGCGAGCAGGAACTCGAGTGAAGTGATCAATAAATGGGCTCAGAATTGTTCTGCAAACCCACAAATTTCTCAATGAAATACACTGAATACGTATACCCGCTACTTCTAGTACTTTTATTCTTATAGTGAGTGCATATACTGATTTCATTACTAGTTACAATCCGTCATATCATTGACTCTTAATCTCCACCTTAGTTTGCCGAATATTTACAAAATATCATTAATTTATTATTTATTCATTGCATTCCCCATCCGCTTCAGGCCTACGAATGGCTCAACGAAAAAAAAAAACTATATGGCAAAATTAAAGTAGTTTTTAAATTTATATTAATAATTGTCGTTCTAAGATTAAAAAAGAAATAAAACAATATTGTTTGTCCTATATGTTTTCATATTTCAGGTACATATGGCAATTCAGGAGCGGATCCAGAAATTAGAAGGGGGTGACTATGAAAGGTTTTAACAGGAATTCAAGGGAAAAGGGGGGTGACTGTTACTAACGATATACTGAGAAATCTGAGCAAATGGGGTGGGGGGGGGGGGGATGGGGTGACTAGTCACCCCTTTTACCACCCCTGCATCCACCCCTGTAATTCTGTCCTACTAGAGATCTGGGCCCGTTTGCACGAAGCCTGGATAGCGCAATGCATCGTAGTTGACTAAGATTCTTTAATTGAGTGTAATTCAATAATCATATGAACGACTGGAAATACTTAAGAGTTAGTTAATTACGTGTAATAACACTCCTGTACACACCGGCTCTAGTAGGGATGAACAGTTTTGGTCCATCTGTTCTTAGAAGTGGCTCGATATTATCAACTGAAATAAGGAACCCCCTTTCTGATTGAAAGCTTCTTTCCTCGCCTCGTAACGATAGAACTGAAAACGTTTGCATTTTCTTCTGGGTGATTAAGTTTACTCGACCTGATGGCAACGAAGGGAGCTTCTCCGCCATTTGTCCAGTTACTTTTGTAAGTTTATATCTTTCTCTTTTTTCTCTTTCCTTGAACATTTCGTCCATGTGTTCCTTTGTGTCTATTTTCTCTTCAGGATAACTAGAGATCAGTTGCGGCTCTTGGATTTTAGTAGCCATCGAGTTCTTGGTTTCTTTCTGGTTGAGATTCGAGTCTATTCTTTGTCTCCATTCTTTGCTTGACTCGCACTTTTCTTTCGAGATATTTTCCCTCCAGATTAATGGATTTAAAATTTCACTACATGACTCGCTTTGATTTTCCTCCTCTAGCCACGGATGTTTTAATTCGTCAACACTTTCTTCTTTCGATTCATTTTCATCCGAAAATGGATCCAAAAATTGGCTACACGACTCGCTTTGATCATCCCCCTCTAGCCAGGGATGTTTTGATTTGTCTACGCTTTCTTCTTCCGATTCATTTTCATCCCAAATGGACTTGCTTTCATCATTTACTTCTGGCCTGGCATCCCTGGCATGTTTTACTTCGTCTATGCTTCCTTCAAACATTTGTTCACTGCACAGAGCTTCCAAAACTGCACTGCCATTAACATCGGTGAACGGTTTTTTCTGGAGCACTGAGTCTAAATCAGAGGAGATAATCTTCACATCAGCCATTTCTGCTGTTCAACTAGTTACTGCCACTAACAAATGCAAAGTATTCTTAGGTACTGAAGATGTTCTCTATTTATATATCGTCAAGTGATAACGTAAATAACAAAAGAAAATAGTTTTCTTTAGGTCGGTCTTTAGGTTGCTATGAAAATATCTTACCTTCTTAGAAATATCTCAGCCAAAATACATCATACTTTTATACAAAAATAGTACAGAAATGCGTAGCCGTAGTATCTGAAACTATTTTGACTTCAAGTATACGAGAAATGTTCTTTTACTCACCAGCAAATTTCAAAAGTACCAACAGAGTTACAAGATGAAGGTGGAAAGCTCTGTTGCCGACTTTCGAAATTTGCTGGTGAGTAAAAGAATATTTCCTATGTCCCAGCAGAAGACTGAACATTATTCTCGTACTTTAATTTCACTCGTATTCGAACCACAAGATAGTTCAAATACAAACTTCAGGAAAAATACAAAATACACTAAAAATTCATCGAAAACTGATGAATTAATTAAAATAGTCGAATTTATAACTGAAAATGTATTTGCGTACTTTCTATTTTCAACAAAAATATAATTCTTGGGCGCAAATTAAGCCGACTTAGCTTAGGAAGGCAGCGCTACGTTGCTAAGGTCGTTTTCTGTTTCCTTAGCAACATGATCATTAGCGAGTCGTTTGAAGTACCGCCAGTTCTGTACAACACATTCCAGATTTCAACTTTGGTACTATTTTCAGTTCTTTACGTACTTTTTAAATTTAATTTCAAGCTTATTTTTGGATATTCATAGTCTTCACTGCTTTTCAAAGCGAAAAAATAAATATTTGAAATAGCTTTCACATTGTCTTCAGAAAGTTCTTAATGAGCTCGGAGAGCTGTTTCTACGTCACTATTTACGAAGAAGTATTGCGTATGACAGGGCAGAAAAACGAGAAGCCCGCTACTTTCACGATTTTTTAAATTTAACTGAGTCAGTAATGCTCCAATTTTTTTAGCGTTTCATTTGTGTCACAGCTGCTCGAAACTTGTGACGTAATTTTGTAGAGTAAAGGCTACTTATTAGTATTCACGAAAATGTCAGTTTTTCTGCTGATCAAAATATCACCTCTCCCAAAGTATCGGCTTTATATTCAAATACGCCTTCAATAAATTTTGGTCGTATTTTATATTTTGCTATTTGGCTCCAAAAGAACGTGTTTACAAAATATTGAACTTAAATACGTAAAGCTGTCCTTATGACGAAAGGCCAAAACCGTTTTTCTGCCCTGTCATTGCGTATATAACGAAGCAAGTGCGCAACTTTAAATTCGTATTGCGTATGTTGAGATATTTTAGATCTTGAGGTGGAAGGGAGTGAATAGGTCTACAGATGGAAGGATTTCGCAAATAATTTAGGTCGGATTTCCAGTATGAATTCAGAGTAAAATTTTAACGGATTGGCCCATCCTGCAAGAACCAAAACTAAAACTCGTTGGATTAGCCCCAAATCGCGTACAGGGACAAAGAACAGCAGCAAAATTGGTATGCTTACTACAAAAGTTACTATATTTTTACGATATATAATATTCCACATACGTTTAATACGGTACGTGTACATTGTTTGGGCTTCCTGTGTGCCAAATTACCGAGAGGCTTGGCAATGAACAGAGTCACCAATCATCATGGTCAGCGCTAAGCCCCATGAGCACTTAATCCAAGATGGCGGCCGACACGACAAGTTTTACTTATCTTTTGGTTCCTGTTGGAATCCTAGTTCATATCGTCTACCTAGCCTCCATATTTGACATATATTTCACATCACCCCTCGTACACGGCATGGAGCCATTCAAGAGTACTCTAGAACCACCAGCAAGAAGGCTGGTGCTGTTTGTAGCTGACGGCTTACGAGCTGACAAGTTTTACGAGATGAACGAGAAGGGCGCGACCCGATCTCCTTATCTTCGTCATGTCATCGAAACTAAAGGAAGCTGGGGGGTTTCACATACGAGAGTTCCTACTGAGTCACGGCCGGGTCATGTTGCTCTTATTGCTGGATTTTACGAAGATGTTAGCGCAGTTGCTAAAGGTGAAGTGATGCCCTAGCTGTGGCGTGTGTTATAATATATGTACTGTACTTTGAGCGTATATTGGTTCACTTATTAAAAATTTGTGGTAACATAACACTTTGACTTGCAAATTCTCTCAAAAATGGTCAAAACTAAAGTACAGTACAATTCCATAAATTGAAGATGTGCTGCAACGTATTTAACAAAACGAGGAATATTTTAAAGATTTAATTTAAAAAGTAGATTTCTGTTGTGTACACATGGATGAGCAGGTTTTAAGTTTAATTTGAGGGACTGTGCTCTCCCTCCCCTCAATCTGCACACAGGAGAGAAGAAGAAAACTATCCTCCCACTTAACATTTCTTTCACTATTGATACGACTGCCCTACTGTACCTTTCCTGATTAGGGAATAATATATATACATTTATATTAAAGTAAACATACACATCTTTAGTACACTGCCCCAAAAAATAGATACAAAATCAAAGAGAGGCCTTTATTTATACCAACAAGGGCGTGGGTGGGGTGGGGGGGGGGCAAAAGGGCCATGCCCCCCTCTCCCCCACCTTTGTGGGAACAATGACAGCTTTTTAGAATGAAACATAGTTCAAGCTCTTTTTTTCTCCTTTTTTGGTTTGGCATTTTGTGGACCCAAACAAAATGGCAGATTTTTGAATTTTGGCCTCTCCCTTCGAAAAATTATGGCTACACCCCTGACTAAGTTCAGTATATTGTTCACTATAGGTTGGAAAGAAAATCCTGTAGAATTTGACTCTGCCTTCAATGAGAGTTGCTATACCTGGTCCTGGGGGAGTCCAGATATTCTGCCAATGTTTGCTAAGGGGGCAACAGGAGATCATGTGTTCACATCCACGTATCCTGCAGGAATGGAGGATTTTGCTGACAAAGATGCATCTAAACTAGATGCTTGGGTCTTTGATGAAGTAAAGAGTTTCTTTGATAAAGCTAAGGACGATGAAGTTCTTGCACAGAAACTATCTGAAGGAAAGATTATTTTCTTCCTCCATCTTTTAGGTAAATTATTGGCATACCATTACATTCATCCATATCTACATCCATCCATCCATTTATTCATTTTCACATTCATGCATTCATTCCTCCATTCACTACTCCATCCATCTATTTATCCACCCATGCATCCATGCATRCATGCATCCACCCGTCCATCCATCCGTCCGTCCATCCTATCTCACTCCCTTGGGAATTTCAATCCTCTCTCTATAAATCCCTGTATATTTATGAGGCTACAGATTATTGTTTTTCTAATCTTTTTCAGGAATAGATACTAATGGTCATGCACACAGACCAACATCTGATGAATACCTGAATAACATAGCCTTTGTGGACCAGGGAATCAAGAAAATAGTAAACCTTTTTGAAGACTACTATGGCAATGATGGAAAGACTGCATATATAATGACATCAGACCATGGAATGACAAACTGGGGGTCACACGGAGCAGGCCACACCCATGAGACATTGACACCCCTTGTTGCTTGGGGTGCAGGGATTAGGGGACCAATCTCAAGTAAAGATAATGATGGTGGTGGCAAAGATAAGGAATCATTTCAATGGAAATTATCACATTTAACAAGATCAGATGTTAATCAGGCTGATATTGCACCACTAATGACCTCACTTATTGGTAGGTCAATTGTTTATAATGCTTCCAAATTTGAAAACTTTGATTTAATCAAGGTGGTATATATAGTAGTAGTGGACTTGCCTCTGGCCTCTGGGGAATCTGGTTTGATTTTGGGAGTTGTCATCACATGAGTAGATTTCTCCCTTGAATATGAGAGTTTTTCTCCTGGTTCTCTAACTTCCCTCCCTCCAGGAAGCCGAACACACTGAATTCAAGTTTGATCATTGAATTAGCAGTGCCTTGACTTTGATAAGCCTAGAGGTTGTTACAAGGCTCAATAAACTTTAAGTTTTCTTATATGAGTTATAAAGATTAATCTTACTCTTTATTTGCCATTCACAAAAAAATCTGGATTTAACGCATTTTTATATTTGTGATATTGAGTTATTAATTTGTATTTCTATTTTCTTCCTCAGGGGTTCCTTTTCCATTGAATTCTGTAGGTATTGTACCAGTGGAGTATTTCAACAACACAGCTCTGTTTACTGCAGAGAACCTTTTAACCAATGCAAGACAGATCCTTGCTCAGTACCAGGTCAAAGAGGAGTATAGAAGGAAAACCTCTTTAATTTTTAGACCTTATAAACCTCTTCCAGGTATGTATTCCACTTTTTCTTCCCTTCCATCTCTTTTTCTTGCATGTATATTCCCATTCAACCTATTTTTGCCCTTATTTTTCATCCTACTTTCCTCTTTTGCACTTCAATTTTTACTTGTCATTTCTATTTTTCACTTTTTTCTGATTCCCTTTTCATCACTTGTGATTCTACTATTTCATTTGCCTTGCTTTCATCTTATCTCTTCGCTCCTCCTATTTCATCCACTTTTCATCCCATTCATTTATGGAATTAAAAAAAGCAAGTATTCTCTCATCTTGATGTCTAGTGATGAGTAATGTTAATATCTCCTAGGTTCAAAGCAAGTTGGTATTGTACGAGACATAAAAGCACTCCTTCACTCAGAGGAGTATGAAAAGGCCTCAAAGCTCAGCAAGCAGTTGATTGACTTATCTCTAAAAGGATTGAATTATTACCAGAATTATGACCGCATATTCCTCAACACTGTTGTCACACTTGGTTTTCTTGGATGGATCATGTCCATCATACTTTGGATCTTTCTGACACACACATATGTCTTGCAAGAAACTGTCAAGTYCAATATCTCTCCAATCAAACCATTACTACAGGACAAAAATGTTAACACATTTTTCATTGGTCTGGGAGTCATTGCAGTGGTTATTTTAGTTTGCCAATCAGCTCCATTCATGTATTATATCTATTGTTTTCTCCCGATCATATTTTGGAACTATATTATCAAAAGACTTCATATCATAAAATCCATTCTTAACTACATCTCTAGAAATAAGCTGGGGAAAAAGCTGTCTTTTACTCTGATATTTGGTCTATTATCAGTCGAAATTTTAGTTCTAAGCTTTTTCCAAAGAGAAGTATTGTGTTTGGGACTACTTTGTTTTTCTCTTTGGATTTTCTCAACAAAATTATTATCACTGTGCCCTGCCACGGCACTTGCCTGGATGGTTACATCTGGATTGCTAGCTGTGTTTCCAATGTTGCCTGTGGTAGGCCGAGATGCAAACTACTCTCTTGTGACTTTAGCTGGTCTCTTTACAGTGATTGTTTTCCTTGGCATCTTGGTGCTCTGTTCAAGAATTTCAGAAGACTTCTGTCAAGAATTGCAAAAGAGTAGCAGTGTCTTGTTATATCAGTTTATCGCCATTGTTTTTGCTATTTATAATGTTAATACAGCATCTTCTAGCTTCAAACAGAAGAAAGGTTTACCCCTATTGAATCAAATTTCAAGCTGGACAATTTTGTTATCTTCATTTGTGGTCCCCTTGTTCAGCTCAAAGAATTTGGCCATTCGCATTACAAGTATAGTTCTGGGTTTAACATCATCTTACCTTCTCATGAGCACAGCATATGAAGGCTTATTCTTGTTAGCGTTATCTCTACTCATGTCAGCATGGTTGGTATGCGAGCATAAGCTTTCTGGAGGAACTTTGAAGAGCTTGTTGGAGATCAACATTGGGTCAGATCATAATGTCGAACAAAACCCAACATGGACTATCATCGATGGCACCAGACCTCTGACCCTGGAAGACTTGCGCTGCTCTTATTTCTTCATTTTTTTCATCATTACAGCCTTCTTTGGCACTGGTAACATAGCAAGCATCAACAGCTTTGACCCATCATCAGTATACTGCTTTCTTACAGTGTTTTCACCTTTCCTAATGGGCGCTTTACTCCTCTGCAAGGTCTTCATTCCATTTGTAATTGTAACATCTGCTTTTGATGCTGTTCACATCATCTTGCAAGTTCCTGTTCATAGTTTGTTTCTTGTTGTGCTAGTGTTGACAGATATCATGGGGCTGCACTTCTTTTACCTCGTCAAGGATTACGGCAGTTGGCTAGAGATAGGTACCAGTATTAGTCACTACGTCATAATGATGACTTTTATTATATTTTTGTTTCTTATTTTTGGCTTAACGAGGTTATTCACTGGTACTTTTATTAATTTAACCCAAAAGAAAAAGAAAAGCTAATAATCTTAGTAGTAATATTAACATGAAAAAGACTTGCTTTATCCAAGAAAGTCAACTTCACAAGGTTTGCACTAGAATACTTTAATCTTGGTCCAAGGGCCTGCATCACTGATCAAATAATAGTCTGAGGAAAGCAAGGATTGTGTAGTAGTAGTGTGCATTTGTTTCTCACCTCTAGAGTATTGGGCTACAATTACAGGACTAGGCATTACATGTGAATAGACAGGCCTGTTGCTAGGACCTGGAAAGGTTAGGTTTGTTTTTCTACCAATTTTACTAAAATGGCACTAAACTTTATTTCATACTCCTACAAAAGTTAAGGGGTGTTTGTTTGAACCATCAAACAACCCCTAGCGATGGACCTGATAGAGTAGATGCTACTCACTCTTGCTTGATTCAAGGCATTTACTCTGGTTTCCTCTCTTCTGCAAAACCCAATGCATTAAATTCCAATTCAATTAGCTAATTGGGGGTGGAGGGGAAAAGTGGGTTGAGTTGGCATTACAGTGTATTGTGGGACTGTTTAAGGGGTCATATTTCCAAGATGGCATCTATTTTTGCCCCCTAAAAGTCCCACAATGCCAACTTAACCCAGTTTTTTTCTTTAACCTTGAAATGTAGAGTGCTCACACTTAATCTGTGAAACCATGAATTAATTCTGTGATCTATATTTATTTAGCACTAAAATATTTGAGTGCAATATCTATTGTCGTCATACTGTTTCTTTGGTGCTATCTGGTACAAATTATGCTGTACTCTCATAAATGTACTGTAGTGTTAAGCTACACATGGTGCAACATTGCGCGCAATGTTGCATGCAATTTGTTACGAGCCATGACACATTGCACAATCTGTTGCATGCAACATTGCTGAGTAGAAAACTATCCTACTTCAGCAACATTGTCTGCAATGTTGTGCGCAATGTTTCACCACATGTCATGCCTTTAGATGCACAAGAGGTAGATGTCAAATACTAGTAAATTTTTACAGAATATTTAAAACTCTCTTTATTATCAGCCAAGTTCCAGGTAATTTTTAATTATTTTTGCACAACTTAATATATTTTATATAAGTGTAAAATATTTGCACTTTCCACTTAGTAAGTCACATTCAGAATCAAAAAATTTAATTTATAATTTTTTGTTGTATTTACAAGAGAGTTGTTAACAATATTTTATGGTAAAGAGTAAAGGAATATTTAACAAGTTGTAAAAGTCTTTTTAGCTATCCATAATGATTGAATTTGGTGAAAGGTATAATGATAATTATAGGATTTAAAACACATATTAACTTTTGTTGGCATGRATAAGCTCTTTTTATTATAAACTTTATCACACAAAAAATAATTTTAGTTCCAAGTAGAAGTAGGAGCTTTGTCTTTTAGTTTTGACAAAATATCTTAGGTTTACAGTGAAAGAATAAAGAGAGAAAATTTTTATCTAAATTTTTGTCCTTAATTTTATTTTTTGAACACATTATTTTTGTTTGAGCTTTACATGTAACTATCTGAAAGTGACTCTTCTTTGTCTAGTGTTATTACTGCTGTCTTTTGTTTTATGTGTATTCATTATTATGTATCTTTCTTGTTGACGTTGAATTTCCATTTCTGACAGACACTGTTTGTGGTTTTGTTTTTGTTTGGCTAGTCTTTGTTTGAGGTCCTTGATTTGTGCATCTTTAGAGCTTAGAACATCATCTTGTTTACTACAAATCATCTCCATTTCTGAAGCAAAAATAAAATTTAATACATAAATATTTTTTTCACAAATACGTAGACCTAATTCGTCTTGGTTCAATGTTTTCACTTTTCAGACCATGTGTCGTTTCCTAGAGAATTATATTCTTTGATTTGTATCTATAGTCCCCTTGCATGTGACATCGGAGCAGCTAAATTTTGAGCCCTCACCTACTTGGATACTATTACCTTGAACCCACAGCCTCCCCCACAATAGTTCAGTTCACAACCAGGCCAACCCTAGGGGGGGTACTCCCCTATATTCGCTATACGGGTACGTGCCGCCAAACAGGGTATGGTTTTCAGCGATTCTACTCTGGAACAGGGTATATAAAATCGCGGTCACTCTGGGACAGGGTATATGAAATCACACTCTCTCCTCTCTGGAACAGGGTATCTTTTCGCAATACCGGAACAGGGAATAGTTTTCAGTGATCTTGCTCTGGAACAGGATATGAATTTCAGTGATTTTACTCTGGAACAGGGTCAGGGTTCGGAAGGCTCAGTGGCACATCCCTACCCTAAACAGGCAAGAGTACCCCCCCACTCCCTGGGCAGGCCAACTGGGAGGCAGTTTAAACAATTAAAGTGTTTTACTATCAAGGTATTTATGATTTATTACAAACTAAGATTACTATCTATTATTTACTACAAACTTTACCTCCACATTTGTTCAGTAGTTCATTTTTTGCTTGGGATTCTTCATTAGCAATATGCTTTAAATTTCCAAACCTGCAAAGAAACATACTTATATTATTATGAAAATAATAAATAAACCCCTCCCTCCCTGCAGAACAATTGGTAACTCAAATTATCCCTCAAACGAGTCATTATAGGTTAGACACTTGGGGGGAGGTGGAGAATGGAAAATGACACTGTTCTTTCTGGCTCCCCTTACCTTTCCTCTTGGGCAAGCAATGTAGGCTAGAGCTAATTTTGTATGACTGTACAGATGTGCAGTGTCTTGACAAACAGGCCTTTTCTGAGTTTGAAAAACTGGATGCTTTGTGGTCTTGTTCAAACGACTCCAACGACTCCATACAAAGCATGGTGTAGCCTCACAGGCTACCCCATATATTCTCTGTTGGGATCCCTGTGTTGAATTTTATGGCAGAGAAGCCCAAGAAGCAAAAACAGCCAAGGAGATGCCTGTGAAGGAGGCTAGGCATGGTGAGGGAATGATGTTTGTACCCAAGCTATATACCAGAATGAACCATGTTTGCTATCTCAGAAAAGGTCCATGACAGCGTTATCACATGTGATTGATTGAACCAATCTTAGTTGAGTTTGGCATGATTCAGGTTACATGTATACAGGTGCCTGTATCATGAAGTTTTGTCTGTGAAACGTACACGTTTTCAGGGGCAACATATTCCTGAATTCACCAGCAATATAAAATGTGTGTGTGGTGATTATCAGTGATGTTGTCCCTGACTACATGCACATTTCACTGATCAGGGGTGCTAAAATACTGCATCATTACTCACGATTTTTCAAATGCCATCTTTTCTCTGTTTAACTGCTTAGTAAGGATATCAATTTCTCCAAGAGCAAACTCTAACTTTTCACTCACACTTGCCAGCTTTGCTTTAGTTTTAATGTGTTCAAGTTGTTCATTCTATAATTTAAAAAAAATCGTAATCAAATCCTAATTATTAGCTAAAAGTCCTCTAGAGAGATATAAATGTTTTAGTGATAACAAACTGACCTCGAATTGTCTTACAACTTTTTCGTACTCTTCAAGTGGAACAACGTTTTCCTTTCGGGAATCATTCTGCAAGCATATACACAGAAATATCAGTGATACACTTAATAGGAATTATAATCGAAGATAACTTTGAAAAATAAACAAAATAAAATCTGACTATTCTCGAGTATCAAAGAACCTTGGAAAAATTTGAAATGAGGTTTCGAATCTGAGTAATTGTTTTCTCTAAAAACATTTCAAGTTAATCTGTCAAAAAAATCAAAAATATTTGTAAGATTGTCTCACCATAGCTATAGATTTAGCCAAGATGTTGTCCTGTATTCGTACAAGGTCCTGTAACTGTTTATTTACTATCATATAACTAGGAACCTTTTCGGCAGCCATTTTTGTTTCTTGTTTTGATTCTTGAATTGAAATCAACGCGGTCTTTTATCTTGCCTCAGACTTCCTCGTCCTTCGTACCACAGAACGCCCAATATTCAAAAATACCAATCCAAAAATTTAGAAAATTCGAAGAAAATCTCCCCTGCGTAAATTCTTATTTATCTTTACTGAGGCCTTCTCTCCAATTATTAGAAATGTCAACGATAACATAAAGAGTACACAGTTAATTACAGTTTCAATAAACTATACTGAATTTTCTCGGTAAAAACGGCAGGAACTTTTACTGTTATATTTGATTGCTTTATTATTGCTACGCTTTCGTGAAGTATGAATGAAAGCAAGGCAAATCTGATCAAAATGTCGTGTTTCTATGCATGAAGTTTGCGCACTTCATTCGCGGCGGATTTGCCAGCCCAGTTGCGCACATATTTCAAATCCTCGCAACTTTACAAATAACTGCCGAGAAAAACACGAGGAATGTGATTTTCGCGCCTCAAAGTTATATCCTCATTAAGAAATAAAACGTATCTATGGTTTCGACCAATCACAGGAAAGTCTTTCTAAAGATCTTAGATCCTATTGGATGAAAACAGGTGATTGACAGTTAATGTTACATGATCAACAGCTGAGTATATAAGCCAGGAGCACGTTGTTTCTGGTCAGATCGGCACACAGTCAGAGAAAACAGCTTATGGTAGGTTTCCTTTTTTAACTTTCATTGCTCACATTTATTGTATTTGCTAGAGATTTAAAATGCACAGAATTGTCTTAAAATCAAACTATTAGTGGCAGAAAGCTTTTAGTAGCTAGAGTTATCATTGACAAAACTTCTATTTTTATTTCAGAACACTTTTGGTCGAATTGGTTTGCAGACAGTCAGAGGCAACTGAGCATTTGGTAAGTGTCTTTTTTAGTTTTTGTCTTTTCTTCTTCTGTTCTTTATTAGATTTATAATATACATTGACAATGTACAAAAATATCCATGCAAAAAACAAACTTTTGACTGCAGATAGCTTTTAAAAGCCAACTTTCATTGACCAAAACTTTTATATTTTGTTTTAAATTTACCTTTAGTTTGAAGATGTGAAACTTTCATTCACCATATTCGCATGAAGTCGTGCAGATATTTGTACAAAGTAGCAATAAAATTAGCCTATTTTTGCTTCAAAAATAAGGAAAAAAGTATTTAGTGAATTATTATTCATTCCTAATACCTTTTTTTTATTTATCTCCAGGCTAACAGACAAGAATGGCCCAAACAAGCAAAGGAATGCTTTTAAGTATTGATTTTTTGTTTTCCTACACAACGAATCTCGAACAAGCTTCAAAATTTGTTTGTAAAATATTTTAAAATTTTTACCGAGAGACAATTTTGTTTTGTTTTGCGATTTTTTTTCCTGCTTGTTTGAGAGGTCTTGCGTCTATCGGGGAAAACCGTTCCTAAATCAAATATGGAACATATAATTTAAAGGGAAAAAATATCAGTTTTTGGTTTGCGACTTTAAAACCGTCTTTAAAATGTTCGCTTTCTTTCGGCATTTGCTAGTCAGAAACCAAAAGCTGCCATTTTAAATTTTGCCTAAGGTTAGGATTAGAATAAGAGGGCTCCAGAAATACCAAGTATGGAGCTCAGGGGAAAAGACGTTAGAAGCTACCAATAAAACTAGGTGGTGATTTTAGTGTTTTTGACTGGTCAATGGGCCAGGGTCAAATGGACCAATTAGGATAGATTTTTCACTGAAGATTAGGACCAAGAGTACGTTGGCAACAAAGAAACCCCGAGTACGCTGGATCTGGAACGTTCTTCAATTGACTACAGCTCGTGTAGAGCATAAACTGTGTTGTGGTCCTTGATTTAGAGTAGATGGAGTTCTGTCATTGTATTGTGTGGTTGTGGTAAATTGTATTTTCATATTCATTGTTATATATATGAATTAATAATTTTAAAAATAATTATCGTATATCGACTATCGATTATTTATCATTAGAATTGTTTATTTATCAACTTTAACCATGATTATATTTTATTCATTTGCTGATATTATCAGAATAGTATAATTAATTTAATTTAATATATAATTTATATATTTTCATTTGTTTATTGATCATCTATGATTAAAATATTTATATGAATTAGTCGATTTTATTCGCGATTAGAATCTATAATTTTTCATTTACTTATCGATTATCAAAATATCTAATCGATCACTTTTCAAGTATGATTAGTATATATTATATATTTCATTTACTTACAGTGATTTTTGATTTGTTATCATTTAATATTATTGTAATTGTAAAGCGCCATAAGGTCTTATTATTTATGGCGCTATATAAATTGTAATCATTATAATCAATAACATTATAATCATTATTATTATTACCATTATTATGACTATTATTATTATTATCATCAATATTATTATCATTATTATTAAACTAGTTATGCTAATCCATTTTAACTTCAATAAATCTATTAGATTTACATCGTGTAGCATAAATGTGTATTCCATTTATTTTTAATATTTCCGTGCAATGTTTTTTTATCTTTTTCAATTGCGATTGTTTTCCAAATTTTCTCATTTATTTGGTTGATATTTCCCCACAAACCCTGACTACACGTGTGAGATCTCAATGACGGTTCTTCAAGACTAACGCTAAATGTCATGAGAACAAAAATATCGATGGAAATCATCAATGATTTTAGCATTGGTGTTTTCTATTACATCCATGGCATTTAAAAACCTTGCTTTGCAGGTCCTCCAAGAACAACCAAACCTGGTTGCAGCAAGACTTCACTTCAATCCACGATAGTTTTTCATATTCATTGGTAGCATTAGGACCTAGATTAGTAGACATAACATGCGCAAAGGCGCATCGAAGAGGAGGGGGATTGGACAAGAGTTTTGTTGTCCCCGTCCCCTCTCCCCTCGTACGTCTTTGCGCTGCTATTACAATTTTTCTGCATTTCTCACAGGTAGCCCAAGCTTGGTTTCTGTGGTGTCCTCTTATAAGGAAATGTATGGAGATTCTTCAAAACGTTCAATAAAATCATTGAAACGTGAAATAAAGCCTCGAAATTTTACCCGATCATTGAGAAATAGCACTTCTTTCGCTCTGCGTGGTTATTTTTTGAATTTAGCCCGTTTTAATATTTTTTGGGGGGGGGGAAATCTTAAAACGGGCTAAATTCAAAAAATAACCACGCAGAGCGAAAGAAGTGCTATTTCTCAATGATCGGGTAAAATTTCGAGGCCTTATTTAACGTTTCAATGATTTTATTGAAATTTTTGATGAATCTCCATACATTTCCCTATAGCAGGACACCACAGAAACCAAGCTTGGGCTACCTGTGCATTTCTAAATGCATGTCAATTGCAGAATTGCTGCAATTGAATCATCAGTCATATCAATATTTTGATTTATATTTTAAATCTATGAATCAAAACGTTGAGTAATAATGACCAGAAGTTCCATAATATTACTTCTGTAATAACCTAAAAGTTGTGAAATTTTTCGGAAAAAAAGTTTGAAAATGCAATCAATTCTTTTTCTTTAAAAATGTATTCGATTATAGGTTGATTTTGGCCCGATTTTTAGGTTTCCGACTTTACTTGCGAAATAGGCTCATAGATTACTGATTTTTTTAAATTTCTATACTTACAAACATGGGTTCCGCATAGATTACCTCATAGGTTTTTTGAAACTAGGGACACATTTCTCATCTCTTGGATAAATAGCTTAATAATATTAAATTATTAATTTCTTAATATCTCATTTCTTGGTTTACTTAATAAGATTAAATGGGGATTTTAAAAACTTAATTTCRTGAATGTACGTATGGTGTGTTCAGTTCTATTTTTGAAACATGTTGTAAACATTACTTGTAATGTAGCTTTACTGATTGTAATAATTTGAAGTTGAAATAAAGAAATATATATTATCCAACGCGTGCAACCTTATGCACGGTTGTTGTTGTTGTTATTGTTGTTGTTTTTTGTTTGTTTTTTGTTCTTTTTGTTCTTTTGATGATTCAATCTTTTCCGGGTTACCAGTTTAATTATTTGATAGAGTTTTAAGGGTTTTTTTTTTGGTCCAGGGATATTCCATCGTCTATAGATTTAAGTATGGTAGGTTTTGACCTACTTGCAAAGAACTGGTGACACAGTTCGCTTACTTTTATTGATTTTGATGGAATATCCTTCCCTTGGTATATTCCGGAGCTGACTGGAGTAAGTATTGGTAGGGTCTGCCCTACTTGTAAAGAGCTGCTGATACAGCTCGCTTAGTTCGGTTAAGTCTCTGGAATATGCCATCCCTTGGGAAAATTTTAACAAACATTCCATTTCAGCTATACTAAGTATATTCTGATTTTCAGATATATTAACTATATTCTAATTTCAGATGTACTAACTAAATCTTCGGATTTTCAGACTCCCTCTATAAGATTAAAAATTAGATGTTCTTAAAATTAAATTAGCTTGACTGTTTTGCTTGTTGCGCAAGAAATCTTGAACTCCTAGTCTAGCAGTTTGGACTAATTCGTTACGATTTCAGCCACTAACATCTCTCTCTTTTCTTTTGTTTCTTTCAGATAATTTATTTTAGGTGTCTTGAAAGTTCCAGCTGATAGAGTGCAAATAATATACCCGTGAAATAGATAGCTAGCTAACTAATTACTAACTTTGTGCTAGTCTATTTTCATCCCACTAATGCTTTATTTTTTCCCAGCTTTGTTCATGTTAACTGTTACAAGATTTTAACGTTCCCTATTTTTATCTCATGGATACACGAAGCATAGAAACGAGTTATTGTGAAGGGCCTGAATATGCAAATGTGTCACTCACTCACTCGCTCACTCACTCACTCACTCACTAAGATGTTAGCAGATCGATAATTAAACGTTTATCGATCGTCTTACGTCATCTGATTACGAAAGTTATAATTACACGACACTAACAAGCACAAACCAGGTGATAAACCAGAAGCTACTTCCGACGAAGGACTAACGTCCGAAACGTCAGTTTTACAAAGCTTTTTACGGTGATCCAATTTATCTACAAGTTTCTACTGTATTTATACTAAGTTACTTAAGAAAATAATCAATGTAGATGTAGATCGTAGAAATTTTTGTTGATCGTTTCGTCCCGATTGTATCATAAACGGCCGATTATCTTGTAAATTCAGCTTTGAGCTCGTAGGTCGAATGATTCCTGGAATAAAATACACAGCCCGTCTTTTAAATTGAAAGCAGAGAAAGCGTTTACAAAAAGATCTTCTTCCAATTATATTCTATACTTGACTCAGTTGACTCCATCGAAGTCCAAGTCGTCTTTCGTAATTGAAGTTCAGACAATTAATTCATCACAGAATTCGCTTCCAAACTCAACAAAATAACAAAAAACTAGATGTTAAAAGGAAAATAAAAGAACTATTACTCATTTTAACAGCTAAATTGAGTATTTAAAAAAAATATGAAATCGAACGAAATCCTTCGAATCCTTCGAATGTCAACAAGCATAAAAAGGGCACAGGGAGCCCAATCTCCAAAACGTGCAACGTTTGCCAAAGGGCGGTTTAATTTACAATTCCCTGAGAAGCAAAAAGTTGCCCCAGTATTAAGAAGAAACGATTGATAGAAGTTTGGTCTTTGTGACCATTAATGATATTTAAGCATAAGTTATTTTAAATTTGTTTTACTATTTTCGTTTTCCACTCCTGTCAAATTTAAAAATAAACTAAGAAATACAATGATTACTATATTGGGAAATTTTTAATGTTTTTTTATTCTATTTTTATCTCATGCTATCGTCATTTGGTCCTTTTTTTAAGCGAGCCTTTTTTAGACATAAATTCTCTTCGGTAAACTGTAACGACAAATATTATAATATTATCAACGATTACAACTATATCCTAATCTCCTCTCCTCTGCTGCGCTCTTCTATGCCCTACTTTCCTCTGCTCTACACTCCCCTCCTCTGCTGCACCCYGTTTTGCTTTCCTCTATTCTACAATTCATCAATTGAACTTGATCTATTTTAAGTTGCTCAAAGATCTATTCCACGCTAGCTACCCTTGATTGACGCAACTAAAAACACTTTCTCTTCAATAACTGTTTTCTTTTTTGGAGAGTGTCCGGGTCATCCGAGATTCGGGGGTACGTAATTTTCAACACGTTGATTTGTATCAACCCGCACTAGTGCTGCTTCCTACCTACTTGCCTTCCCTCCCTACGATCCTGTATATCGATCAAGAAGAAGAAGAAGAAGAAGAAAAGGAGGAGGAGGAAAAAATGGGGGAAAATAATGTTTTAATACAATTTTAGAAAAATTAAAGCTTTGCGAACATTTCCGTATATAGTCTTTAAATATTCGTACCCAATATAAGACTCTTGGAGCAAACGAGCCGTAAAGTAAATAAGGAAAAATAAGTGCATCAGTAGTGCTCAGTATCATGTCAAGTCATTAACGAAATAAAGGCAGTGGTGCATGGCAACGCACTGATCAACACGAGCACCATGCTTAGCTATAGATTAGGAGGAAGAAAGGATGGATCAGAGTGTTTCAAACAAATCATGCACTACACTTAAAGTTTCACGTAGTTGCTATATAATGATAAAGAATTTATAGGCGATCTCGATTAATCAGTGAAAACATTAGTTTTACATTGATGCCAAAATATATACATAACGCCATATATTATATATATATAACTTACGGTACCTCTCGATAAAACTGTGTATCCATAGGGATCATATGCAAGTAGAGCATACTCACCAATATCTAATGGATGACTAGTGAGTAATTTCGGCTTGGGGCAAAACAAAATGACAAGTCCTTCGGGTTACCATAACTTTATTGTGAATGATAGACAGCTAAAATAAATTAAGTTACGATACATAATTTCATTAACTATAATTAAACACTAAGGACCAATATCTAATGATTCGTTACATCATCTGGTTTATAGCTATAACTCGATGTTATTTTCGGCTTACAGTTTTTTATTATTTTTGTTTACTTTCGACTTACAGTTAAAGAGTTTAATATAGCTAAATGGTTTCATTTGAGCTCACTCCTTACCATTTATTACTAATTCAATTACTCAATACTAGTTAATTGGCACATAATCAGTTTTGCGTTCGATGTTCTTAATCACACTCTACTGATTTGCAAAGTAAAGCGAGATCAATTTTTTGCGGATCAAAAAAGTGCGTCAAAAGCTTAGGCGGACAAAAAATATAGGAGACGTCAAAATTTGATTGATGTCCGCAAAAAAAGCTCATTTTAAACAAGTTTTGTCTTTGACCATAGTTTCAAGTCTAATTTGTTCCGCTGCATGTTTGTATTATTGATTTTAATCTTTGCAATGGGTAGCTCTAACTTTGGATTAATATTATCATAATTCTTTATGAATTTGGCGTGGAACGCTAAAAAGAAACTTAGAAGAGCTTCTGCCTTGCTTGACTGAGTAATATATCCATTTGCGTCGATAGCTAGCGCCGATGCAGCGAAAACGTACCGTGATTCTGATTTAACGTTAAACCTCAATCACACGATCCTTGTCTAATTATGAAAACACGGTCAAATATCTTTAATGGTTAAAATTTAAAAAATACTAAATATTATCCACAACAATAAGTTGTACGCTTGAAATAGATAATGGAGCAATATATGGCGCGGATATTTCAAGATGACGTAGATAGTTCTGTTCTAAAAATGGACTGTTCTTACTTGGAAGGTATAAAAAGGGAGCGAGATGTTCAAAGTACTAGTGTTTCAAGCACTTCTTAGCCACCAGAAGAAAGAAGACGAAGAATAAGACTATACTGATCTCGTTGACCAAGGTTTAACTCCTTTTTCAATTACCAATTTAATTTTTTGACAATTTTAAACTATAATTTCTGCAATTATTTTCCACAGATGTTCTTTAAATCCAATCCCGTTTTGGTGATTTTCGTCATTTTATTTTTCATCTTCAACATTGTTCATACAACCTCGCTGGAGAATGAAGATTACATTGAAAACGATCCAGCACTGTAAGTGATAAATTCGTAAAGTCCCGTAGTGTAAGTTTATGCAGATGGATGTTATATATGTATGGATGTATCACTTTCATTGTCCGACATTTTCCTTCTGATTCTGTCCTTTTTTTAATTTCCTTTTCGAATTTTTCCCCTCCTGTTATTCTTGTATGACATCCACATTTGTTTCTAGGAACACCGAACAATCGAGTGATGAAGGCGAGGACAAGAGAGCTATCCGCATTCGATGCTACTGTTGGATTGGCTGGGTTAAAAAGAAGAACACGAAGTACATAAACTTCGGCTCTATTCGTAAATTCAAGCTGTTCGAAACGAAAAAGCATAGCAAATGTTCTGCTTCCTGCTCCAAGAAGTGTGCTCGTAAGTACTCCTGTCTTTTGAACTTACTTTATACAAGAAGATAAGATCAACTATTTGTAGCCAAAGCCGGAAGGGGGGAGGAGGGGGGGGGAGAGGGAGATGAGATAGCTAGAAAGCTGAGATCACTGAGGATCATAGGAAACTTTTAATATCAAACAAGTAAAGCTTTTGATACAATTTGCAGCTTGAGGATGCTCAGGAGAGGTGAGACTGTAACTGGTAAAAGATCTAAAATCCATCAACAGTTATTAAAGCGGTTGAAACATGTAAAATGTAACTATCCGTAATCCTTGTTGGTCTTACCTTTGTAGCTTTTCAGGCGACTAACTTTATTGAAATAAGTGTATACAAAAAATCCTGATATCGCACTGCGATTCAAAGCATGTTTGTGTACCAACGTTTTCGCTTTGTGTCCTTATTCTTCTCATAGCTTACCTCAAACCAAATTACTTCAACTACTTGTGTGGTAAGATCGGCAAAAAATACCACTACAAGGAGCACAAGGTGGGGTGCTTCAGCAGGGTTGGCAAATTTGATCTGCCCAACAATCTATGGGACTTTGACGGTTCTCCACACGGCCTCTGCTGCAAGAAAGTCATGAAATCCTGCACTTCGGTATATGGTACTGGATTTTATTACCACAGTGGCTTGAAGCTATGTATCAAATATCTTGCACCAGGTAATCAAAAGCATCAGTTTTAATCAAATAAATTAAATGCCATCAACTTAAGAGCGCTCGGGGGTGTTCGTTGCTACGCGACTATTTTTACACCCAGATCAGGCTTTGGAACTGGCGTAAGTCAACCCCTTCAGACCACTTTCAACCTTTAGACTTTGGACTTCTTTGACAAGCAAATGACTACATAACATGGTATTTTAACGAGTGAACACGGACAACTTACTAGAGAGTTTTAGATTTACGTTCACGGCAAACGTGAAACGTCAGTTGACCAGTAATAAATTCTTTTAAATGACTGAAAAAGAATCGCAAAAAAGTCCAAGTAGTAGAAAAACAAAAGAGTATTTGCGCTTGGTGAGAAGGTTTGTAAAAGGTAAAGTAAAATACACGAAAACTTTGAACACGTGGTCACGTTTGCCGTTTGCGGGGAGAAAAAAAAGTCAATCTAAACCTCTCTACTATTGCGTTCCTTGGTGGGAAATTATCACGTGATTCAAGTTGTTCATATAAATTTTTTAAGTACAAAATCAATTCGCTTTTATTTATTTTTCAACAGGTCCTATTCCTGGCTTCTCGAATGGCACTAAAAAGCCTCCACTCTGTTTTTATTGGAACAAATTGTACGCTTGCCAGCCTCCAAAATATTACACAAAATCTGTGCCTTGCTGGTGAAGAATGTTTTTTCTTGCACTCTTGATAAGGTTTTATTTGGCTTAAGCGATAATCCATCTTCTTTTAACGACTGGGGGCTCAACTGCATGTGATAACATCTGTGGATGGTAAGAATCAAGACTGACTGAAGTTATGCAGTTTGTCTTGTAGTTAAGGAAATCCATCTAAATCATTTTTTATCAATAAACTAAGATTAAAAGGTTGCAGTTTGTGAGTAGTGTTTTACCTTTCAATGTGATCACAACGAGATTATGTTGATGGATCCAACGAATAGTAGATATTAGAGTCACAATCTCTATTGACTCAATGGTCTATTGCTGGATATCTTCTGTTGCGTAAAAGTTTTTTAATTTTTTAATTCATAATTTCATGGTTTATAAAAGTGGTCACATAATTTTGACTCGCGCGATATATATATTAGGAGTTCAAACCCGTCTTCATTCGGGGGGGGAGGGGGGGTTGGGGGGTTCGCTACACCTTTCTGATGGCGACTAGAGTCAAGTGCATCGAAAGTGAAACGTTTTCCTCTTGACAGTAATTACCAGTTTGAACTAGATTTGCACTGTGCCATAGTGACCAAAGTAAATCCGTGAAACTTTAGTAATACTAAATAGCACAATTTCATGCAAATTCCATTGTTTTCTATTGTTTAACTAGCACTATTTTGTACTATTTAGTAATTAGGGTTTCACGGATTTACTGTGGTCACTCTACCTCCGAGTCCTACTCAGAAACTGATGCGTCGTATGGACTTTCGAATGCAATTAGGACTTTTCTGTTCTGAGTGAACGGACTAAAAAGAAGTTGAAATATCAAGACTACATGTACTAACGTTTAATCTACCGGTTTATTTCAATTAAGTTTCATATTTTTAGTAGTGTTCTCCTTTAAGCATGGTGAGTGAAGAAATAAAGGTCTTTTGAAACTATAGCCACGAGAGTGGAAGTTTGACCCATAATGAATTAAAACCAAATTCATATTTCTATTTTATTTCATTTTATTTTTACTGATTATAGTTTATTTCAACGGCAGTTGTACATGACTTTCAGTTGATTGATATCTTTCCTGCTGAGTCCCTTTCGCTGTCCAATGTGTGCTTTAGGATCCAGGGGCTCGACAACGACTTTCCCACGGCTAGCAAAGGCGTATTTGCCATAATGCATCAAGGAACCATAGTCGTACCCGATTCCGCGGTCATCTACCCACCTCCTGTCTGTTTTATCGAAGTTACCAGCTGCCCCTAGAAAAATATTGAATTTATACTCCTTAAAGTGAAGGCATTTAACCACTGAAATACAAAATACTAGTTTGTTGGTACTTACATTTGTATTGGGGTGCGAGGTTCTTTAAGTGTATGCGGACATAGTTGTCCCGATCAGGGCGGGATTGTTCATGGAAAAATCCGAGGGCGTGTCCGAGTTCATGGACGATTGACGGAACACCGCAGTAGCTTAAAAACGATCAAAATAAGAAGTGATCATTTTCTAGCTTTGCTATGCATGTTCATTGGAAAGAACGACAACAACAACAAAATACGAAGAAAAGAAGGGAAGAAGGGAAGAAAGGAGAAGGAATGAATGAAGGAAAGAATGAAGGTATGTTTGCATGCACGAAAGAGGGGGAAAAGGGATTAAAAAGACGTCTGTTGTTCTCATTAAGACCGTTGCAGAAACAGGAAGATTTAGCAAGTTACGTGTTTATATCTATTTTAGCTTACTTTAAAACAAGTAAAAAAATAGATAATGTCTTCGATCCCTCTCAAGAAAATCAAGAAAAGAAAAAAAGGCAACATATATGGACTTGTGTTTACCCTGTTGTCCTGAAAACTTCTGGATTAGCGATGTAAACATTTTGTTGTCCGCCAACAAATCCAACATTTGCTTTGCATCCTCTACAATGAAAAGAATCTGGTGAGCAGACAATTTTACTAGTTTATCTTCTGCTACTATTGAAGTCTTTTTTACCCCTTCTTGAAGTCGTACTGCATCAAGATGTAGTTGGGTTCATTTCTGCGTCTCCTGAATCGAATGCATGTCTTTCTTTCAATCCTTGCCATAGCCTGGTTCAATCGGTTTCTGCCATCATTATCTAAAAAAAAAGAGCAGATCGATACTTGTTAATCAATTAGATTCAAAGGTCGAGCTCTTGTCTCTGACCGATGAGGTCTCGGGTGCGATTTCTGGAAACAGAATCACATGGAGTGGAGTTTGTTGAGTCTCTCCTTTAACTTGAGGGTTTTAAACGGGTTCTCCGACTACGATCTGTGATGAGTACCCGTGCACTAGCTGACTTTAATCAGCCCAGAAGCTGTTCCAGGGTATCAATCAGAAATTTATAGTTCTTTTTAAGGGTGCGCACTAGATCCCTGATCGACCTTGTGTATCAATAGTACTCTGTTCCAACTACAAATCAAGGATGAATACATAAGATAGATTAAGGTTCCAAAGGTTTCACAGCAGGTAAAACAACAGACGTGACAAAATTCGAAATTTTCTCTTTCCAGAACTATATGAAAAGAATCTGTAAACTCACCAAGGTTGCGGCTAAACTTGTAGTAAACAATAGCGTTAGGCCAGGTCCATGGAGCTTTCATGGCGGCACGTCGGACGAGGTGCTTCTCTTCACTTGCGTCGCCTTTTACAAAACAGTAAAAAATGAATGAACATTTAATCGCTAGCTCCCAAATCTAATTGCGGGTGATGTATAATTTTACGTAGTTATAGGTTATACTTGTTAAACTGCTTGGAAAATAAAGATGTGAATTGCATTTCATTCCGACTGGAGCTCGAAATTTTTTCAAGAAAAATTTGGCTGAAGAAACACAATTCACATCCTTGATAATTTTTTTTCAAGCAACAGAAACACCTCATGACATGAATACAGCATTAAATGTATCATAAGTGCGCAAGACGAAGACAAAGATATGACAAGATTTGGGACCTACCATTTGACGTAGAAACTAGAACGCAGACAGCGAGTAAAACTATCTCCCTTATCATGTTGGAACTGTTATAAAAATATACGTTATATAAGAATAACCGTCAATAAGTTGAGATAGTGGTATTGCGTGTGATAAGCTTATATTTTTATTTTTATTTTTTATTTGTAGCGCGGATAACCTCTATATCTAAATTTATCTGGGGCCATTGTTATTGCATTGCTGGATTTGGGCAAGTCGATATCTTGAACTGATGAAATTTTGCGCGACGCATAAAAAGTAAATTGCAACTCAAACCTACTACAGAAAATTTGTTTTAAACCCTATCGTATGGGTATAAGAAAGGCTGGAGAAAGACACCTTACTTTAAAAAGAATCTAAACCAAAAAGAATAAAAATGATGAAAGAAAGCCATCCTTAGTACTTACCAGTATGCTATTGACGAAAGCAGTGACTCTAAATGAATCAACCTGTCAATGGTGTGCTTAACATATAGGTGTGTTATGCGAATTGCCGCTGTACACGTGAACCGCAGTTCATTAACTATCAATAGCGCACTACGTCATGACAAACAACACGGTCAAAGGTAATAGACTAAAGTATTGAAGCAAGGCTATTTGGGTCAAAGTATTTGTCTAACTTTAACAACATTTGTTTTTGTTGGTTTTAAGGTTAAAGGCCATTGTTTGTATAGACATGGTTCCACCAAACTCGGTTCTTATTTAACAAACAACCAGTTGCATTTTATCGTGGCTTTAGCAAACAGCAACCACGGTTTATCTGGAAATGAGTGGCTTCAGCTGAAAAKGAAAGTATCAAAATGGCTTTCGTATTCAAACGCTGCGATTGGCTGGTTTCCACTTTCGTGTAGAATTAGATCTTGATTGGTTCATCTCAGAGGGGAAGCCATTTAAGTGCCACGGTACATTTCTAGTTTGAAAATCCAGCCCTGTACTCGACCCCGGGAGATATTTTGCTTATAAAAATTTGATTTTTTAAAGTTCAAAGGTTCGTACTGAATTGACAGGTGGAATTTTAACAACGGCATGGCTTTTTGGTTACAAAAATAACGGTCAACACTGACCGGTTAGACGACGAACAAAACATGATTTTAAAAAACCACCTATACTTTTAATACTTTTGTAGTATAAACTTAGCAAGGTTTTCCATGTTCTTTAAAAAAATTATTTAGAGTGAAGCCATTAAGCCCGTGAAATAGATATTAGATTAATACGCCATAGTAGATCCGCCGGTTTCCAATAATCGTTTTATCGTACGTGGGGATGAATAGCGCAGTTTTCGTATGATCGTGAAAAGTTCTCGGCACGAACATGGTCGTGACACGGCAAGGGATACGCCAGACCAATCACATTGCACGAGAATTTACTCTCCATCCAATCAAATACCCGGAACACGGCATAAACACGGCGCGGACACGGTCACGCCAAGATCACGGCACTTTTAGACCAATCATATTGCGCGTGAAAAAAATCAGCCAATTAAAATTCTAGTCAGTCGTACAAAAAATGCACTATTATATATACGCGTGTTTATGTTTCGTTGGTATATCAGTTTTTTAAGGGTTTCGTTCATTGATAGTTTTGCTATACTTTTATAGTCAGCTTATTTTTTATTGGTCACTTTAGTTGTTTCGCTTTATTACCCTTCACTCTCATATTACGAAGGAAACTACGAAATATTTTCTTGATTATCATGTTTATTAGCCAGCCTTGACTGTATGAAACTCATTTTAACATATAACCATAGATATCATTATTGAGTATAACATTATGCATGCTTCAATCTTTTATAGTCAGTGTTAGTTGCCTCATAGAGCCATACTTTATTCTTCTACTTCGCCTGGTTTTGGTCCATTAGGGTTTGGCGTTGGTTTGACTGTAAATTTAAAAAAATAAAAAAAATTAGAGTATTTAAGGACCAATATCTTCATATGATGGCGCATGCACAAAGCAAGTCAATCCCTCCCTTGGCAAACAACCACTGATTCTTAAGACACCGTGTCATCCATAGTTTCACAAGTGCTGTACATAATTTCGTTGCTTTTAGTTGCTCAATTTACTGGAGGTGGGGAGGGGGATGATTAATCAAAGACTTTCTTACCTCCCTCATCATCCTCGTCCTCCTCGTCATCTTCGACTGGTTTGAGATGACTGTCTCCCTGGGCTGTTAAGATAAATAAAAGTAAAAGGGAAATAAGAAAAATATATAGTAACAGCTTTCCATACAATATGTACAGTGTACGATAGATGGCTAGTTATGAATTAAAGCTCGTGAAATGTGTTTCGGGGCACAGACAATTCCTCCTTTATGAAATGAAATCTCTTATCATTCAGAACCATTTCACTGTACCTACATACCCTACAACATTTCTGACGTGAAACCCCTCTATTGTTTATTATCAAATAACTGTTATAAATCTCGCATTCTGATTGGTTGGGAGCGCCGTGCTTTATGACAGCACACAGCACGCACGCGCCCTTTGCATTTTATAAAAGAAATAAAAAATTTGCTTGGTGTGCTGTGTGGAGTTATAAAGCACTTGGGGATTGGCAGAACACTCGAGAAGTGTCGAGTCTCTTAACACTTCTCTTTGTTTTGCCAATCCCCGCGTGCTCCATAACTGCGCACAGCACGCGCGCGTTTTCTATTTCTTTATTATTTTTTACCGTCACATTTGTACATGTCGTTCGTCTGTGCAATGTCTCCTTCGCTCAGACCATCTCTCTGACCAATTTCAACATTTCCTCTGATTGGCTGCATGACCACCGCATTTGCTTTGTTGTTGCCTTGGTAACGAGAGTAGTGCATGATGCTGCCATAGTCGTAGTCATGGCCACGAGAATCTACGAAAAATCCATCGTCTTTTCTGAAATTTCTCTCGGCTCCTACAATGCGGAAAGATAACATCATCATCATCATCAGTCATCATCATCATTATCATCATCATCAACAACAACGACAACAACGATAAAAGTTTTATTGCACCATTAAGAGATAAGAAAAACAGGAAAACAGGATGAATGTGCAATGCCACCTAAAATACCTAAAGAGCTAATCGAGTGGTGACATGCTATTGTGTTACATTAGTATAACGTTACTGTGTCAAGGCTTAGTCTTCAAACAAGAGACAGTAGAGCTGGTGAGTATAAACGAGAGATTTTTCTTACCTTTTCTGATGTTGTTAAAGTTGATTCGGACATGGTTATCGCGATCTGGTCGAGAGTGTTCATGGAAGAATCCAATGGCATGACCCAATTCATGGATGGCTGATCCTCGCGAACATGGGCTGTGAAAAAGGGTAAAGACAACGTATTAAGATAGAATCTTACAACATAACGACATGATTGGCAGGTTGTTGTATTTCAGTACAGCACGTTTCGTCTAAAAATGTTTCCACGTTCAGTGTGCATTGATGGAAGGTCATATCTTACGTTGCGTTTAGTCCAATTCAGCAACTGTGACTAATGGGGCCATCATCTTAACTTCAAACTTTTTTGAAACCTGAAACAGCCTCTAAGCTGATCAAGGTCAGGTTTTTTTCGTGCAGTTATCGTTTCGCTATGAGCATGCTCTGCGATTCCTGACCCGTTATTTGAAGTTAACATTGTTGAAATGGTGGCAGAAGTGGAATCGGATTCGTGTCGCGCCACGTAACCAACTTACTTTGCTGCACTTCCGAGGGAAACTTTCTGTCCTGCATTTCCGGTGAAGCCAACTTGAGCTCGGCACTTTCTACAAACAAAATATTTCAGTTTTAAAACATTTCAACAAATTTTATACTCAGAAATTATTCTTATGCTAGACAACTACGTACCCGTCATATTGGAATTTTATGTATGCATTCTCCTTATTTCTTCGTCTAAATTTCAGACAGGTTTGGCTACTCCAGTGATTCATGGCTTCCTGAGCGAGGTTACGTCCTGCGCGATCTGTATTTACGGGACATAAATAAGGACAACTGAGGATAATCGGTCGAAATATTTTAGGGCCGGATCAAAATCATGAAATTCTCTAGAATATCTTGCCAAAAACCTAATTGAAGAGACAATAATAATGATGACCAATCAGATAACATGATATTATAGCAAAAATGACCAATCAAATCATTATATTAGCAAACTGAAATTTTAGCGTAAAATTTTTAAAAACTTACCAAGACTTGGGCCAAAAGTATAGAAAATGACTCCATTAGGCCAAAGATATCTGTCCTTCAAAGCAGCTCGTCTTACGCGACCATTTTGGCGCTGTTCAAAAATCTCTTTTTGTTCCTTTGTGAGTAACATGTCTCCATCGACTAGCTGTAGTCCATCCTCGATAGGCTTGGCTGAATAATATTACAGATAATATATATATACATAAGACTTAAAATCTTAATTTTCATACAGGTCGTCTGAGAAATAAAACGCTTGTCTTTTATACCGTAGGAAATAAGCAGGGAGTCGGACTAACTCAGAAACAAGTTAAACTTACCTTCGATAAAGCAAAGAACAGCAGCAAGAACAACCAAAGGAATCAAAAACTTCATGATCAAATACCTTTTAAAAGAAAATCAGAAAAACTCGTTTTTTCAAATTGAAATGATAATATGAACAAAAAAGCGAGAAAACACACGGTATTTTTAAGTCACATTAAGAAAAACATTAGAGCTCAAACGACTCACCTGTTTGTGTGGATATTCCAGTAACAAGGTTGGACTATTTTTCACGGTTTTTATATGATAAGGTAAAAGTTCAGAGGTCAAAGAACGTTTGAGTTCAATAATTTAAACAACGCGTCTTTTAAAAACTGGAAATTGTGATTATTAATAACAACTGAAATTTTGAAGAAAAAACGTTTTGAAACTTTAATCTTAATCAGTTACTAATTGGGAACCATAATGAAAGTCGTTAAGTTAGGAATGATTATAAATCGTTCTTTCGCACCGACCGCGGCTACCCTCTCTCCAAAAAAAACACACACTCACAACGAAAAAACAAAAAACAAAAAAAACAGAGATGTTCGCTTAATAGAATGTTTGGTTGGTCGAAAATTTTTAAATTTCACCTCAGTTCTAAGCTCAGATAACAATACGCACAATAATAAGCTTCACTTTTTTTGGGGGGGGGGGGGGGATTATATTTATTTTCGTTTATTCAGTGTTCAGCCTTTTTGATAGAATCGAGAAGAGGGTGGTTTATACTCAGTATCAGTGGGAGAGAATCGATTTAGAAATCGAAAAAATCAAAATTAAAAGTATTTTAACAAAGTTTTTTTGAAAATTAGTGAATCTTTTTATTCTGACTTTTGCTACCTGCTTGCACTGGTAGATCCAGAACAAGTTCAAGGAGGGTGGCTGTTACCTCATAAAGCATGGCTTCCTCTGTAGATCGTACCTTATTCATTATTCTTATTATTTTCAAACTCCAAAGGGGGGTTGCTGCACCCAACCCCTCCTGGATCCGCCCTTGATTTGGCGTTTAATATTTTTATCTTTACATGCATTAGCAATAGTTTACCAAGTTTTTTGACCTTATGTATCGATTTAATGGTCGAAGAGTCGATCTTCCCATTCAAGTCAAAACCGTTCAACCAGTTAGTCACTGCCTGATTACTGCACACGTAATTTTTCTGATTGACAAGTTTTTCATAAAGGAATGCAAAATGCATAACTAAATCTTTAAATAATGATTTAAGCACATGTCGTAGGTCAAAGTTTCGAACTATGAATAATGTTTTGTCCACCATAAATTAATAAACTCTTTACTCATCGTTTATGAACTAATTAGGGTGATTTAAAAAAATATATATTTAAAAAAAGTTTTTCGAATAGAAAAACGTTTTCCCACGAACGAAACAGTATATTTGTCTTACGATGTTAAATGAACAAAACTCAAAAACCTTCTAGCTTCTGTGTTATTTAGGATTCACTAAAAAATATACTTTTCTCTAAAACAGTAGGAACTTGTAGATAAATTGGATCACTGTGACTATCTTTGTGAAACTGACGTTTCGGACATTAGTCCTTCGTCGGAGTAAATGGAAAGAAAAGATGAGAAGGGGTGAATAAATACTAAGGTGGAAAATAAAGTGACCAATGAAAAATAAGCGTATGAAAAAGCAAAAGGAAACAAATAATTTCCTCCTTCATGTTCAAATAATAATATGTTTACAAAGTAAACTAGTAACACAATGCAACAGGCAATTTTGAAGTTTGAATTCAGTTTATTTCCACTTTAACTTTAACAATTTAACATTCCACTTATGAAGGAAAGTACTGGTATACAAGCTAGATCGCCCTAATCTTGATCTACTGTGTTTCAGAAAACTTTAAGACTATACTCAGGATTGATTCTAAACCTCGATTTCGCCTGGTTTGGCTCCTGTAGGAGGTTTAGTGGGAATTGGCTCAGCACTGGCAGCTGCATCAGCTTCAGCCTCGTCATCATGGAGAGGTTTAGTCTGACCTGTTCCTACTCCACCCTCAACACGGTCACTGATTTCGTTTTCTTCATCCTCTTGTGGTTTTTCTCCTTCTACTCTCCTGCTATCTTCCAATGGCTCCTTTTTCTTCTCTTTTTTGGCGTGTTTGCTTGTTGATTTAGAAACCACTAAAATAACATTAAAAAAGCACTAAGTTTTAGGATCAGTTTTTGTGATTCGAGAAAACGATGCTAAACAAAAATTGAGGGGGAAACTGGTTTGATTTAAAACAGAAGCTGTTTGAACAGAAAGATGGAAATAAGAAAGAATTAAAAATCATTAGGATAAGCAAATAATTAAAAAGAAAACGAAATAGAAAAAGACAAGTCATGGGCGATATGATATAGATGATATTTATGATCATATAGCGCTCTCTCCTATATCGATATGCTCAAAGGTGCTTTAAAATGAGTTGTGAACGAGAGGCGGGTAGTATGAGGTGTAGGCACTGAGGTATACTGAGACATAATATAGGCCTGTTTTTTCCGGCTCACTTACCTAAAACTACAAGACAAAGAAAAACAACGAAGGCAAGTTTTCCATTCATTTTGAGGTAATAAACTGTTTCAAGGAACTAAAAGAAAAATAAAACGAAAGTAAAAAACTATAAATGCAATCAACTTGTCCTTCCGAATATATATTTGGAATTTACCATAACGAAACTTTTAGCTGACACCCTACCTTTGGTTCTGTTGTGTTCTGTGAGGTCTCTGATAAACTGTCTTRTGACAAAACAACAATGATTTAAATCAATTCATCGTAGTCATACTGCGCATGCGTAAGTTCTAAGTCGACCAACTGCGCATGACAGGTGCACCTAGAAGCTGACCCTTACAGCTAGAACAAGTTTTTCTTGCTTTATTATTTATTTCAACGTTATGCAAATATTACCTGCTTACTGACCAGACTTTTGCTATTATTGAGCTGAAATATATGCCGGCATGACAGTGAGATGGCTTTTTTATAATCATAGTTCATTAACATCTTGTCCAATCGCAAAATAAATGATGAAAACAAGAATTTGATTATCTGAATTTAAAGGAAGACGCCATCCAGAACCCAAACTGTGCTTAAGACAGCGAACGATGACTCGTGGAAAGAGAAGAGAATTTCTTATTAAACCAAGACAAACTCTGGCGTTTTTAAAAAAGTCGATACTTTGATTGTGTAACCAAAAGGAAAAGAATTGATTCCTAGTCAAAGTCTGAGGAAAATGATTAGTGATAAAACCATTACTTTATTCATCTTTGTTTCAAACACACTTAAATATATAGATATATACTTTCAATGCTTTCTAAAATGTTCAATTCTAGATTTCATTCTTAAACTTCTAAGGCGTTACCGCGTTGAAACATATTTGAGAATTTACTCGTAACTTCAGTAACTTTGACTTTTACTGAAACCATTTCTGAAGATCAGAAATGGCGTGAAAAAGCTTAATAAAAGTTAATTATAGGATATTTTTACTTTTTTTTTTTTTTTTTTTTTTACAACTTTAAGATTACAAAATTATAGTGAAACTAAGTTCTTATTGGCGTAATTTTTCATAAATATTTCAAAAAAAAAGACAGATAATGAAAATCAATTCTAAAATTAAAAAAATTCTTTCAAATTTATTCCAAAAAAGCAAAGCAAAGCTACTATATAGAGTTTTTATATATAATCATTGCCGAGTAGTCCGAAAGTTACTTATTGTTGCAATCCTTTCTCCCTTTCATCCTTTTCCTTTTTCCCGCAAATATAAATTCATAAGTATAAAGTTGAATTACTAAACAAAATATAAAGCTACATTTCAAAGAGGATCCGAGAGAATATTCCCGCTGTTGGAATACTTCGGATTATAAGCGAGGGTTTTTCTGAAATACAAAGGCACCACTGCATTGTCTCTACTGTCTTTAGGATAAGCGCCTTCGGATTTTTTCTTCAAACCAAGTTCTTCAACATCGAAGTTAAAAACTACTTGTTCTTCTTGTTTCTTTGGCTTGTAATACTCTATTCCTTGGTTGACTGGAGTTTCGAATCTTCTTTCAACTTCCATTGACTCTCCTCTTTGCTTCCCGGTTCTACTCGTTGGCAGTTTTTGAAGGTTCACATCGACATAGGCATTCCCTTTTCTCTTCTGTACTTGTAGTTCACGAATAGGAGTGCTTGAAGGCAAGGTATATCCGTTTGGAATTCTCGGAGATTTGCTCGGAGACATAGACCTAAGTGGAAAAGGTTCCAGTAGGATTTGCTGCTTGGATGGACTTCTTACGCTAGAGGGTTGTTCTGTGGTAGGTTTTAATGGGGGCCGGGTTCTTACTCGGTTTGGCTTCTTCATGTAATCTTCTTGCCCCGATAAATCTTCTCTTCGAACGACAACCATCTCATTATTTGTTATAGGCCTGCTGGGACTTGCAGAAGGATAATAATACTTCATCCCAGAGACTGTAGGATAAATCAACTGCAGATACATCCTCTGATTCATCTTGAGCTGTTTATCGGGTTCCGCGCCTTTGCCGTAAATTATCGGAGGGTCAAATAATCCAAGATATAAATCCTGTTTTGTTTTGATTTGCTTATGGGGATGAATATCTCTATTATGGGTTCGTCTTTGAATATCTTTTGCCTGTTTACCAGTCAGGAATTCAGGATTCTTCACCAGAAAATGCCTGACTTCTCGCATGGATCTCGGCTGGGATCCTAACGTGCTTGACGATGCTGTAATATTCCTCTGTGAAGCAAGTGTTCTACGAGGAATAGTTCCATTCATTTGAGGATACGAACCCTGATGACTGGACATAGAGGTTTTATTTCTAGACCGTGTAGTACCACCATCTGGCGGCCTCAACGTGAACTCTCTTGCATCTGCGTGGGCTAATGGTGAGGTTGGTCTGAAGCTTGAAACTGTAGCGAGTGAGTCGATCTCACTGGCTTCGTCGTCATCCTTTTCTGGTGTTGCGTACTTCTTTGCGATGCTTGCTGAATGCCCCATATCTTTGACTTCACAGATTCAACTCTTTCTTTTCATTCTGCAGGAAAAGTACGTAAAGAAATAATAAATAAAGGAATAGAGGCTTTCTTCATATACACACAATGTGTTTGGTAAAGATACTGTTAGATAAGCACAATATAAATACATTTGAAAAAGAAATACCTGTGCACTTAAAAAGCCTAATGTAAGAAAAAAGTTTAAGAAAAAATCCATCGATTAAGCATATTGTTACTCTGACAGCTACTGTTATTTAAAAACATTTTAGTTTCTTTGGAAAATATTATTTAATGATGAAAATACAAATCGATATAAAAAATTGTTTGTACGACACTTCAAACTTGTTTTAAATAGAGAGAAATTCATAAATGTGCTTATTAATAAAATCTTATGGCCCCATTTGCAAGCAACTTAAGCAGGAAAAATACAAAAAAATTCAGAATATGATTCTAAGACTTGCAAAAAATGTAGGAAAACATTTGCCTCTTTTTGGCACATTCCTGTGTTTCCAAAGAGCCTTGGTTTGTTGTGAGTTAAAACAACTTGGTTTTTGTTGACTCAAGAAAAAGGACTCGACACCGTTATCGCTACATCGAGAATGAAGCACTTCTTCTCTATATGGAAAAATTTAAATCATCTGAAATCCGTGCTTGAATGGAGTTACGACGCGACGAATCTAATCTTGACAAATCCGACAAACGTTTAGTCAAGTACTTACTATGTAGGAGACTTTTCTTGTAGATTAAAAAATAAATTCAAAAGGAAACCTTCATAAAACAGCAGTTGCAAAATTGCAACGACTGAGAAGATGAATTAGGAATTTATAAACAAAGAAAACTATCTATTAAGGTCAGGAAGTAGAACTACTTTAAACAATAGTGAGGTTGTACAAAAGCAAAGAAAAGTTTAGAAATGCAAATTAAAAAATAAAAAAAGAACTTAAGAAAAAATCTCAAAAGAAATCAACAACCTTTGCAGCTTTAAGTATGTCGTCAGCATTGACAGCTACCAACTAATCAACGAATACTTGAGAAAATACTTATGATAAATGGTTTACTTCGTGTTATGTTAATGGTGTAACAACACACATTAGAGAACAGATAATACATTACCACGAGTTCGCGATCGACAAACCACTGAACTTAAAATCTGTCAGGTAAAAAAAGCGAGCTCTACGAGACACTACGATTTAGAGACTTAGTGCCCTGTAAAGGACAGATATATTACGGTAAATGTAAACTACAGCAATAAGATATTAAAATAATAAGAGTTTCTTTTGTTCTTAAGCGAAGTTATAAATTAACAAACGTCTAAATCGTGCTCTTGAAGTCATGCCGACACGCGAAGAATCTCGTTATAAACGGAGATCATTTTAAAAGTCTCTAACTAAAACACACACAAAAAAAACCACAGAGATCTAGGTGACCTGAAGGTAAAATTGATTAAAATCTAAACATTCGAGAGAGTTTGACGGCTTGATTTAACGTCGTAATGGTTTTTCGCTTACTCGTTTCCATCGTAACCCTGACTTCATTAAATCGCTCTACTAAAACTTATTCCATGGAGGAATTGCATGATCGCTAAGTGACATACTTTTTAGATGAAAAAGTCTTTACCTTTAAGCAGTATGAGAGATTATTAGAAGGTTAGATTGCTGTAAAGAAAAGCCATTTTTCTTAGCGATTTCTGCTTTGTTGTGTTTGACTTCTTTGCGTCTTTTGTAATTAGACGGCATCACATGGTATTTACCCATAATGCTTTGTAAAGATCAAATTTCATTTATCTGTCTGTCTGCATGTTCAGCTTATAATTCGAACATCCGCTTTTCTTAATTTCTTCTCTTCCATTGTCGAACTTACAATATTCATAATACTTTCTTAAAACTTAATTCATATGGATATGTAAAAGGTGTTTCGTAACTTTTATGCGCTTTAGCATGTTAAAAACATGCTAAAGCATGTTTATTATAATATACATTTTGAAAAAAACAGAAATCATTATTAGCTACAATAATCATAAGGATCGGTTCCATATCTTCAATTATTGGCCTATTTTTTGAAATAAAGCTCTTGAATAAATTTTCTAACATGAAAAAAGGAATGGGCTCCCTGTGGTAAAGCCTAAAATAAATTCAGAGGAGAGTCTGAGTCTAGCTTGGCTCAGCAGTAATGGCTGACCGAGCGAGGAAGAACTAGAGAGTGTGGCAAAAAATCCTTTTCCATCGACCGATATCTTATACTTTTAAGGCTTAAAACACAAAATTATTGCTTCTTAATCTCATCTAGCTTTGCTTGCACTATGAGTGGTATTTACGACCACGATGATGGTAAGTTTTAAGCACCTTGTTTTGTTTTCTAGCTGTCAGCCTGTATAATATGCTAGTAAAACTTATGTAATGGCGGTCGGATTGATTTAGATGCAGGTTATGGAGAGGATGAAGGTGAAGATATCACGCCAGATTTGTGGCAGGAAGCATGCTGGATTGTCATTAGTTCGTACTTCGATGAAAAGGGTCTTGTCAGACAACAACTGGATTCGTTCGATGAGTTTATTCAGATGTCAGTGCAAAGAATTGTGGAAGATTCACCAGAGATTGAGTTACAGGCTGAATCACAGCACATGACTGCAGAAACTGAGACTCCTGTAAGATATAATTCACAATATTTTCCAAACTTTCACGACCAGATTATTATTTGTTATTATTATTAGCAGTGTTTTTAACTCTTTCACTCATTTCCTTCGTAGTCATCATCACCAATGTCATGATTGTCATCATCACTAACATAACTTAATTGCATTACTGAGTCCTCTGTATGCACCTATACAAGAAATAGATAATGACGATGATGAGAACTTTATTAATATGCTATTTATATGCCCATAGTTTATTCCCATTACTCTAACATTGTATTTTTCCTAACCATACAAGGCCAAATATGTCCTTAAGTTTGAGCAAATCTACTTGTCTAAACCAACCCACTGGGAAAAAGATGGAGCTCCAAGCCCTATGATGCCCAATGAAGCCAGACTACGAAACTTAACGTAAGATGATGAATTATCTTCTCATTTCTATAGCTGACCAGAATTTGAATAGGGTTTTTGATAAAAATTTTGTGTCCAAGCTGAGGTGGTTTTGTGCATCATAATATTCCTCTAGGATTTTTCAATGTGGGAAACAAATTTTCTGCACAAGTTAAGGGGGTGTCTAGGGTGACAATATTTTGTCAGCACAAACGTTTTGATTTTTCATGCATGTCTATTGTATCAAAGTCTCTGTTAGGAATAATGTATTTTTTTTCTTTCTTTTCTGGCAGTTATTCAGCTCCCTTTTATGTTGACATCACAAAAACTCGAATAAAAGAAAACGAAGAACCACAGACAGTTACACACAGTAAAATGTTCATTGGAAAGATCCCAATCATGTTGAGATCAACATACTGTCTCCTCAGTAATCTCAATGATCGTGACTTAACAGAACTCAATGAATGCCCATTAGATCCTGGAGGATACTTCATCATTAATGGCTCCGAAAAAGTCCTTATTGCGCAGGAGAAAATGGCTACCAATACAGTATATGTATTCTCAAAGAAAGATTCCAAATATTCTTATACTGCAGAGATTCGATCTTGTCTAGAGCATTCATCTCGTCCAACTAGCTCAATGTGGGTGTCGATGTTGGCTAAAGGAAGTCAAGGTGGACGGCGAAGTGCTATTGGTCAGAGGATTGTTGGATCTCTGCCCTACATCAGACAGGAGATTCCTATCATGATTATTTTCAGAGCTCTGGGGTTTGTTGCTGATCGTGATATTTTGGAGCATATTATTTATGACTTTGATGATCAAGAGATGATGGAAATGGTGAGTTTTGTTTTGAAATTAAATTATTTATTTTTTAGACTACCTGTCCTTCACTTGAGTATATTATTGTTACTCAAAGAAGGAGGGGGGGGGGGGATTAAAAAGAAACTTGAGTTGAGTGTTACCACCTCTTGATTGGATCAGACTGTTGTGGTGGAGGTTCTGGGTTTTAGCTTCGGCTGGAGGTATACTTGGGTTTCAAAAGATCTGAGAAAAATGCTGCATTTGCACTAAAAATATCTGCAAATGGTTATAACTTTGCAGTGGCCCAGATGACCACATAAAATGATGGTCCACTCTCATCGTTGTAAAATTTATCATAGTTCAAGCTTACCAAAAAATCATTTTTTGAAAGGTAAAACCATCCCTAGATGAAGCCTTTGTCATCCAAGAACAAAATGTTGCCTTGAACTTCATTGGTTCTCGTGGTGCACGACCAGGAGTAACCAAGGAGAAGCGTATTAAATATACAAAGGAAATTCTACAGAAGGAAATGTTGCCCCATGTTGGTGTTAGCGATTTCTGTGAGACCAAAAAGGCATACTTCTTAGGGTAAGTGATACAGTACTATCCATGTTGAGGTCATATTTTGATATTAATGTGCCAACATAACTCTATAGATCTTTTTGGTTTTGGCTTGATTTTTCCCCATTTCGGACCACATGAAAATGTGGAAATGAGAAATGGCTGTTTCTAAAGTCCTTGGTTTCTTGGTATTTTTTCAGGTATATGGTTCACAGACTGTTATTGGCAGCTTTAGGAAGACGAGAACTTGATGATCGTGATCACTATGGCAACAAGAGATTAGATCTTGCTGGACCACTGCTTGCTTTCTTGTTTAGAGGGTAAATTGAGTGCTAATTTTTTTTTATTTGTAAAATGTGAGTGAAATTTTGTATTTAGCTAGTAAGAAAACATTTAACTAGCTAAGTTTTGCAAGTATGACCACAGTTTAGAAATTGTAAGACTGAAAAGTTTAGAGCCTGCATCAAGAGTAATGTTTGTCATTTGCCGCTATTGTTTGCTAGTGACTTTGATATCTTCACTAGTGAGAACAAATCTTACTGAGAACCAGGATGACAGTTGTAACTATTTGTCTTGTATGTTGCAGGTTATTCAGAAACCTCATGAAAGAAGTGCGTATGTATGCACAAAAATTTATTGACAGAGGCAAGGTAAAAATGTTTTACTCTTTAAAGAGTGATTTATTTGTATTTTGACCATGTATTATATCCACTAGTGTGAAATGTGATAAATCAAACTAAATAGAGTTTTGCAGGGCTAAAAGTGGTTGCTCAATAGCTGGACACCATGGCTGGCTTCATTAAACCAATCAATGTGACTGGTCAAAAAGGCCAGCTCGAGGCATTTGGCTGGGCATTGCTCATTCATTGATCAGCCATTATTTTTAGCCCATCAAAACCTATTTAGAGTGAATGCTATTTTTTAATGGCATATTCTCGTCTTTTCCTAGGATTTTAATATTGAACTTGCGCTGAAGCCAAAAGTAATAACAGATGGTCTTCGTTACTCCCTTGCTACGGGTAACTGGGGAGACCAGAAGAAAGCCCACTCTTCACGTGCTGGAGTATCTCAAGTATTGAACAGGCTAACATTTGCATCAACACTCTCACATTTACGACGTCTCAATTCTCCAATTGGGAGAGAGGGGAAATTGGCCAAGCCACGTCAGTTACATAATACACATTGGGGTATGATCTGCCCTGCCGAGACTCCTGAAGGTCATGCCGTAGGGCTCGTAAAAAATTTGGCTCTTATGGCTTACATCTCTGTGGGCTCCCAGCCAAGTCCAATCTTAGAATTCATGGAAGAATGGACCATGGAGAACTTGGAAGAAATCACTCCTTCTGCTATTAACAAGTAAGAACATGAGACTCGACCAGAAAGGCCGGCCAGAAATGGTTGACTTTTGTTTAGTTAGGCATTTTACAGCATGACGCCCAAATGTATGACCACAGATAATGTATTTGCATACTTTTGTCTCAGGAATTACGGTCATGACGCCTCCTTGTCATGACGCCCCCACGTATACCATGATGCCCTCAGTCTGTACTACCATGACTCTCCCAGCATAAACCATGACACCCCTAGTCTCTATTAAATTTCTTATTAAATAAGTGTTAATAGAGACTAGGAACRTCATGGTTTATGCTGGGGGCGTCATGGTTGTACAGACTGAGGGCGTCATGGTATACGGGGGGGCGTCATGGCTGGGGACATTAATGACAAGGGGGCATCATGACCGGTTAACTGTCTCAGCCTTTATCCAATCATTTTTGAGCATTGTGCTAAAACATTATCCTGTAACTTGTTCCTGTGCTAATCCTAAATGAATTAATTCTCTCCCTATTACCTTGAGCAGTTTTCATATGAGTGGAAAATGCATGGTATTGCACATACATGCTGCAACACCAAAATGGGTATGGTTCACTCTGGCTTCAGTATGACCGAAAAAATTTAAGAAACATTTTTTTTCCTTCTCATTTGAAAACTTTTCTGTTCTGCTTTTCTGCTGAGCATGTACCTCTTTCTTGAGATAAAAAAACTATATTTTTCTCACTGTTCCTCAGTGCTACCAAGATCTTTGTGAATGGATGTTGGGTTGGTATCCATAGAGATCCTGACCAACTCATGAGTACACTCAGAAAACTGAGACGACGTATGGACATCATTGTATCTGAGGTAAATAAATTGTACAAGAGTTTAATATACAAAAGTAAAAAAAGAATAAAATGAAATAAAAAATAAAATTAAAAAGTTATACAAAACTGAAGAAATATTCCATCCAAGAAATATCAGTATTCCCAATATGGTGGAATTGAAAAAAATTATTTTAACTCAATAGACCTCTTTAGGTTTTTCCATTTCATATCACATGAATTCTCTTGAGAATAAGGTTCTTTGTTTGAGTTGTATATCATATTCTTGTGTCTTCTCACTGTTTAAACAAAGAAGTGATACTCTTGGGAATGACACAAGTTAAGTATTTTATTTATGTGTATCATGCGCAACCATTAAACAAAGAAATTATATCCTAGGAAATGACATATGGTCTGAAATGGGGCAAGATAAAGAGGTCTTTTCCTGGCATATAACAAAATTCAAAAATGAGGAAATTTTAAAAGTTCATAAGCTTGTTGTGAATGCTATAATTGTTGATTTTTCTATTGTTTTTCCCCATTTTCAGGTGTCTATGGTAAGAGATTTCAGAGAAAGAGAAATAAGAATCTATTCTGATGCAGGCCGCATCTGTCGCCCCTTGCTGATTGTGGAGAACCAAAAGCTATTATTAAAGAAGAATCATATTGATATGTTAAAAGAAAGAGAATACAATGACTACAGGTAATTCTATATGTTATCCTACAGTCCTTTCTAGTTTGATACTGTACCTTCTTAATCTGGAATAATGAAGATTAGTATAATTTTAAACTTGAATTTATAATTAAAGAGTTTCGTGCACTGTCATTGGTCGAACTACCAGTGATTTTGAGACAATAATCACTGCTTGAGCGGGGATTTTTAGGTTCTCCAAAGTTTACCAGAGCAGAAGTAATACCAAACCATTTTTTTATCTTGAATTTCATCTTTTCTCTGACATTCAAGTCTAAAATTACTGTATACTAAAACAATTATTCCTTTCAATATTCACTATATCTACCTCACTGCTTGAAGACTCTGACTTGGAAGATAATCTCTTCGCCTTTGGTGAATAATTGTTAAGTAAAGTAAGGGGGAAATGTACACGCCAAGCTTTTTAGGGGGGAATCCTCATACATTGTATATAAAGCGACTACAGATGCATTTGATAATAAGATACATTTGTAAATATTATTTTCCCATTTTCCTCCAATAGTTGGCAAGATCTTGTTGCTGGAGGTATTGTAGAGTACATTGATGTCAATGAGGAAGAAACTGTCATGGTTGCTATGACGCCAGATGAGCTGGTCGAGAAAGGCCAAGCATATTGTTCTACATATACTCACTGTGAGATCCACCCATCGATGATTCTGGGTGTCTGCGCATCTATTATACCATTCCCTGATCATAACCAGGTATGGGTGCCCTATTAAGTGTAACTTTATTGTACAATTGACTTGTGTTTGACTGTTGATTGATTGACATAATTCCAGTCAGTTTTTCTTAGTACTTTTCTGTATAAACCTTCATAACTTAACATCCAAATCAAAAATATTTTACCATTCAACTATACACCTAAGTCCAAAATGGCACACGGCTGAGTGTGTTACATGAAAATGAGGCATCCAGGGCCAAATGCAAAGAAATAATATGGTGTCAATGCAAAGTATACACTTGTTCACTTGTCTTGTTCTGTCTTCCTTTTCTTCTTACATTCAGGATAGCGACAATTTAGCAGCATCAAATTATAAGAAAAATTTGTAAATTTGGTCCTGGATGCCTCGTTTTTAACCAGCCATGTGCCATTTTGGATTTAGGTGTATTCAATCCATATATCAATAGTGAAAGTATTGTATTAGGGGTGAGGTCTTTAATAATATAGGTTTTTTGTACTATAGTCACCTCGTAACACTTACCAGTCCGCTATGGGTAAACAAGCCATGGGTGTGTACATTACAAATTACCATGTACGTATGGACACGCTGGCACATGTGCTTTACTACCCTCAAAAACCACTTGTCACCACCCGATCCATGGAATACCTGAGGTTCAGAGAACTGCCAGCAGGTAAGATAAATAAAACTTCTTTTTCTTAGATGTTAGATGAGTAATTAGCCATTCCGAGTTTGAGGGAAAAGCTGGGTTGAATTGGGACTGTAATGCAGCGTGGGACTGTTTTAGGGGACATATATTCAAGATGCTGTCCAGGGCTCGAAATAGCGGCCTACCAATGGCCAAAAGACAGGCCAAATTTCAGGTTTTGTATACAAAAATAACGATGCACTGCCAAATGAATGATAAAATGACATACAAAATTTACTGGAATGACCTCCTTTTACCTTGATCCTTTACAATGGCAGACTGGGAAAAATTTCTATTTTAAGCCATGCCGTCTATTTCGTCCCCTAAGACAGTCCCACAATACACTGCAATGTCAACTCAACCCAGCTTTTTCCTCAACCTAAGAATGGGTAATTACCTCTGACTAATATTTTATTTGACTACAGGGTGGATTTCATAGGTCAAAGTGACCCAGCACCCATCTTTTCTTAAGGAATTCTTTTCTAAAGAACACTGTCTTTGCTTTACTTAAATCATCTTGTATATGAATTTTGTCAAAACTGTGGTAACCTTTTCTGAATTTCTCAGATCTGCAGGAGGTGCCCAGTAAGAATGGCAGGGTTCTAAGTTTGAGAGTAAAAACCTTTACTTTATGCTATGTTAAAAATTGATTTTTGCTGTTGTTTTTTTTAGGAATCAATGCTATTGTAGCTATTGCATCCTACACTGGTTATAATCAAGAAGATTCTGTCATCATGAATGCTTCAGCCATTGATCGAGGCCTCTACAGGTAAGAAATGAAAACAAAATAGAATAGAACAAATGCCATTTCCTCTAAAACAATTAAAAAGTCAGTACTTTAATATATATTAGAGTGCTCAGCTTTCAAAAACCAATGCTACTGGAAATTTTTACAGCATATGGTGTAGCCAAATAACATGAATAAGCTTCCAGTTTCATGAGTTATCTGGGCCTGGGAGCCTTGAAATGTGCTCTAAATGTCAATAAATCTTGTAGTCTTTTTAAAAAAAATTATGTTTTATAGGTCTGTTTTCTACCGATCATATCGTGATCAAGAATCAAAAAAAGGTCTTGATCAAGAGGAAACATTTGAGAAACCTACAAGAGACCAAGTATCAGGTTAGTGGAACAAACATAAAAAATGTTTCATATGATGGCAAGTTTGGGTAAGGGGGGATCAAGCCCACTGCCACAGCAATAAGAGACTGAAGAAATAGAAACACATGCATGTGCTGAGTGCAGTTGTGAAGAGGCATGATGCATACTTTGCACAGCACAGCAAGTTTTTTTTCTTTCACAAAATACAAATTAGAGTAGCTCTATTCAAGACACGGATGAAAAAATAGAAAGTGTTCAAGCATGCTGGCATTCTCTCAGTTATTTATTATTATTTATTTATTATTTATTTAAACATATTACTCAATACATTAACTGAAAAAGCAAAATAATTGCTTATTTAGGGGGTCTATGTAAAACTTTTGCACAATAACCAACGAAAGGTGTGAAAATAGAAAAAGAAAAGCACAAAAGTACAAAGTTATTTTTAGTTATTTTATAATGCAAATAATGGGACATTTGCATGATGGTGTCATTTGACTCCCACTACCAAGATGCTTCACAAATTTTCTTTCTTATTTAAATTTGTATTCCCTCATRAGAATAGTAAGACARTTGGTGCTAATTAACTTAACAAAAGAAAGTGTACAAGGGAGTCTGGTAGTAGAGGTCATTAACGCCATCATGCAAACGTTCTATTATCATTGCCGATTAAAGACTTTGTGCTTGTTGTTCAGAGGATTAGTAACCAGTTGTGTTATAACTATTGTATATTATATTGATTCTATTTCAGGGATGAGAAATGCTGTCTATGACAAGCTGGATGAAGATGGTCTCATTGCTCCCGGTATACGTGTCAGTGGTGACGATGTCATTGTTGGGAAGACCAGTACCCTCCCTGATAATGATGATGAGGTAATACAAAACAATATTAAAGCCAACTATTAACATAATAATGGTAATAAAGTGCGTACCATATATCCATTTTAAAAAATTGCACAAATTTGCTAAAATTAGTAAGTTCAGTAGACCTCAGTAGACCTTAGACCTATTAACCTTTGTTATAATTTGTCAATTTTGTTAGTTAACTTTTTTACGGATATATGGTAAGCACTCTAATGGAAACTTCTTATGTAGCACTTTTTACAGTCTCTTCAATTTGCTTTAAATTTATGACTAGTGGAGGACTTTACGCACTATATATAAGGTGCTATTAGAAGCAGTGCAGCTCGCAATCATCAGTGAATTGTTAGTATATTAGTGTATATTATGTCTCCAATTGGGATAGGCTGTAGTAGTTTGTAGTCACAAACATCAATACTGAATTTTTTTTGGTTTTACCTGGTAGTTGGAAGGAACAGCAAGAAAGTATAGCAAGAAAGATGCAAGTACCTTCCTCAGACCAAGCGAAACTGGTATTGTGGACCAGGTAGGCAAGGCTCTATCTTAGTGCTATTCTTAATAAATTATAAATAAAAATCATTTATATGGGAAGAAAATGTCATAGCAATATCATACAGGCCTAAAAATGATGGTCAGTCAATGGACAATAATGTATGGCCAAATGCCACTTAAATAAATCACTTTTTCATAGTGGGATACAAATTCAGTAAATGTATGCTGGTTTCCAATTTGTCGTCATTAAATATTCTATACATACGAATCTTGACTCGCATGTTGATTTTTAAGGAGGGAGGAAGCTGGAAAACCTGGAAAAACTCAATTCACATATTTATATGATCCAGTCTGAGCTGGGACTCAAACCCAGACCACAGCAGTGAGCGATAAATTATTATGCTACCCATGGCAAGTGATCTTGACTGGTCACGTATTGATTAGTTGAAGGTAACAAGTTGTCATGTCTAACCAATGAGTAGCTTTTATTTTTAGCGCTGATGATAGGTCAATCAAAAATGATTAAACGTTTCTTTCTCCAATCATTATCTAATCCACTCCACATTGATTTCAGGTGATGGTTACTATTAACCAAGAAGGTTATAAGTTCACTAAAATCAAGGTGAGCAAAAAACACTGTAGAACAAGATTCTGTGTAAAGTAAATTGAATTCTGTGTAGGGGCATTTGCCATKCTACTTCATGAAATGAAATGGCACTATTCCATAATAAAGTCTAAGGTTAGGGTTTTTTGGGTTCGGGTTCGGGTTCCAGGATGTTATAATTGATAATGAATAAATTATAATTGAATAGTGCCATTTCACGTAGTCTTGCATAAAGTACTAACCAGCATTTTGCACCATTTGCAACAAGTTTCATGACTGGTTCCAAGAACAATACATAAGATTAAAATGACAATAGATTGGTCTTCATAACAATTAAACAAAACTCAACCTAACGAATTAGTAGCTTTACTATGAGGCAATCCAAATGCCGCTTACGAATTGTGAAGTCTTACTACTGTGCAAAGCTTTTGATACGGATCTAACTGAGCACTCTTCTCTCCAGGTCCGATCTGTACGAGTACCCCAGATTGGTGACAAGTTTGCTAGTCGGCATGGACAGAAGGGAACTTGTGGAATAACCTATCGACAGGAGGTATGTACCTGCACAATGAATAGGACCCAACACCTAGAACAGTGGATAACGCAATGCATTGGATAAATCCTTTTCCAGTGGATAAATTTATTGGATAAAAGCATCGACTTATCCACTAGATAAAGATTTATCTATCGGATAGGGCTATTCACCCTTCGTACAACTGGGCCCAAGGGGTATCTCAATTTGAGAGGGTGAAAAATCATAACTTGTTGTTAATTATTGACAAACCTTTTCAATAAACAACTAGTTATTATCAAACCCTGAAACAATAATATTGGTTCATTTTGATTGAGAGAGGAAAACCAAAGAACCCAGAGAAAAACCCTTGAATTAGGCTTAACTTACTAACATTAGCTACATGGGCTACTATACTTTTGGATTGTAGTAGATCTTTTTGGCTTGGGCAAATTGTTTCCCATTAGAGGCATGTGTCATTCTCTAGAGTATTCTTCTTTGTTTAACGGTTATAGATACAACTCAAACAAAGAATCTTAGTCAAGAGAATGACATGTGGTCTGAAATGGGAAAATTGCACCAAGAGGAAAAGTTCTATTGATAGCAATAAATGGATTTTGTAATGAATTTCTCTCACTTGTTGGTAATAGTATTATTGTCTTTTCCAGGACATGCCGTTCACGTGTGAAGGGTTAAGCCCTGATGTTATCATCAACCCACATGCTATTCCCAGTCGTATGACAATTGGTCACTTGATTGAGTGCCTGCAAGGAAAGGTTGGTTCTTGTCATAATAATCTGTTGTTGCCATGGTAATGGGTTGACATGGTAATGGTTTCTATGGTTACATTACCATGTTGATATAGAAACCACCCTTGTGGTCATTTACAAGTATAGCTAAATGGAAATTGCAAACCTTTTTTTTGTTACATATTTGAAATTACAATAAAAGACAAGCGAATAGAGGTTTTACACCATCATGGTAGAATGATGGCAGCCATGTTAGATGGCAGGAACAATACGATCGTTTTACATGAGAAAGAATTCAGTTCCCAAGAGCAAAGGGATTTTGTTGTTCTGCCTTCTAACCACAGGCAGTCCAAGCTGTATTATGGGCGCCGGCACGTGATGGTGCAAAGCTTCTTTAAACAATTTCATCACAACTTGTTGTACTTTCCCAATAGATCCCTTGCACTAAATCTCAAAGAAATGGGGCTCAAAGAAATATAAAATTCTAACATCATAAAAGATTTTAATCTTCACAGAAAAGGAATTATTTTGACTTGACCCACAGATTAGGAATTACTATAAAGGGTGGTCTATATGTAAGCAGCAAATAGATTAAGTTGTTTCAATATTTCAAAACATTTCAGGTTTCTGCCAATAAGGGAGAGATTGGTGATGCCACTCCCTTTAATGATGCCGTCAATGTACAGAAGATCTCTCAACTTCTAAATGATTATGGCTACCACCTTCGAGGGAATGAGGTATGAATATGCTAGTAATAATTAGTATTAGAAGGAAGCCATGATAGAGATTTGATCCTTGCTTTGTTGTAATATTGAAAGCTTGGACCTACAGTCATTAAGCTGTTTTTTCACCAATTTTTAGATTTTTGTGTGTGAGTGGCATCCCCCAAATCCCACTGTCCCCTCTTCCTGGTAAACAATGAACCGCCCAAAAGATGCTTATAGAGGACAATAACTTTGTAACCAATTTTTTTCCATCAAGTGTAAATTGATTTTGAAGTGCATGTTGCTGATACTCAAGTTAACTTATTGTAGTATTACTCCAATAATAACTGGACTTCAAGATTTCTCTAATATCGCACTTGTTCTCTGTTGGTTATAGGTTTTATACAGTGGATTTACTGGTCGCAAACTCAACACACAAGTGTTTCTTGGACCAACATACTATCAGCGTCTCAAACACATGGTGGACGACAAGATCCATTCTAGAGCTCGTGGGCCACTTCAGATATTAACCAGGCAGCCTATGGAAGGCAGATCACGGTAAGATGTTCATGTCATTTCTTACAATCATTGTAATGGCAGTGTGTGTGTGTTGGATTAAACAGAATTTGTAGTTCCTGTTGGTTGAACTGGTAAAATAATTGTGTGTTTGATGTCTTTTTTCTGATTGATTTGTGCTGCACTATACTTATATTGATTACAATTCAATTACATTTCATTCTGCTGCACTATGCAATTCTGGACTATTTTGATAGTTCTAAAGAAAGCTTGCAATGCAATTAGACTTAACCTGTCTTGGTGCAATACTCTTCAATAACAGACCAACATCATTTCTTCTTTTTTTGTTTGCACATCGAAAGACAGATGATTATGGTTACATCTCAAACAAAAAAATCCTATTCTCAAGAGAATAACACATGGTCTGAAACAGGCAAATTAGGTCTACTGAATGTTTCCACTCACAGTAATTATCATAATTGATTTGTTTTATATTATCCACTTTAAAGTGATGGTGGTCTTCGGTTTGGAGAGATGGAACGTGATTGTATGATCGCCCATGGAGCAGCACAATTCCTAAATGAACGTCTCTTTGAGGTTTCTGACCCTTACAGCTGTCATGTATGTAACCTTTGTGGGCTCATTGCCATCGCCAACTTAAGGAATAACACCTTTGAGTGCCGAGGATGCAAAAACAAAACACAGATTTCAAGAATTCGTTTGCCATATGCAGCCAAGTTGTTATTCCAAGAGCTAATGTCCATGAGTATAGCGCCAAGAATGATGGTTTGTGATCCAGTCAAGTGAGCTACTTTATTGCTAGAAGATCTAGAATAATTTGTATCAGTCACCATTAGACAGTTTCTTTACTGTCAGATCAAAGCATTCTTCCCTAAAACCAGTACATAGATTCAACCAGTGCTTTATTTATCAATTCTAACACACCTTCAAACATTTTCATCATTTTTGTGCAACCCACAATATATACCGTTAATCTTGTTTTAATAAATTGTGCAACAACAAAACAAACGTATTCAATTTGTGATATTTTTCAAAAGTGGGTTAGCCTCAAAACTGATAAAAATTATGCTTGGTTTATAGGTGTTCCTAATAATCTTTCATTAATTCCCAATAATTTCAAATAGATATTGACTACTCACAAAACATTACCCCCCACGAAAGTCATTTTAGACCCATTTTGGCCAAAAAGCATGGACTATAGCCCATGGTTTTGCTCGATTTTGGGTGATTTTTCACTTTCCTCAAAAATTATCCCATGTTGAAAAAGGGTCAATTTTGGCCTAATTTAACCAAAACGTATGGACTATAGCCCATGGTTTTGCTCAATTTTGGGTGATTTTAGGTATTTTTTGACTTCCCTTCAAAATTCACTCTTTTTGGAAAAGGGTCTATTTTGGCCAAAAAGCATGAACTGTAGCCCATGGTTTTGATGGATTTTTGGTGTTTTTAGGTATTTTTTGACTTCCCTTCAAAATTCACTCTTTTTGGAAAAGGGTCTATTTTTGGCCTATTTTGAACAAAAAGCATGGACTTATAGCCCATGGTTTTGATCACTTTTGGGTGTTTTTTCGATTGCCTTAAAAATTAACCCAATTTTGAAAAAGGGTCTATTTTGGCCCATTTTGGGCAAAAAGCATGGACTATAGCCCATGGTTTTGATCACTTTTGGGTGTTTTTTTACTTTCATCAAAAAATATCCCATGGTTTTGATATTTTTTACTTCCTTCCAAGAAGATCACAATTTGGAAAACGCTCATTTTTGGCCAAAAACCATCATTCCAATGAATTTTGGTTGTTTTTTAAACCTCCATCAAAAATTATACCAGTTTGAAAATTGGTCATTTTGGGCCTATTTTGGCCAAAACGCATGGACTATAGCCCATGGTTCTGATGGATTTTTGGTGTTTTTAGGTATTTTTTGACTTCCCTTCAAAATTCACTCTTTTTGGAAAAGGGTCTATTATGGCCTATTTTGGTCAAAAGGCATGGACTATAGCCCATGGTTTTGCTCGATTTTGGGTGTTTTTTCACTTTCCTCAAAAATTATCCCATGTTGAGAAAGGGTCAATTTTGGCCTAATTTAACCAAAAAGCATAGACTATAGCCTATGGTTTTGATCACTTTTGGGTGTTTTTTTTTACTTTCCTCAAAAATTATCCCATGTTGAAAAAGGGTCAATTTTGGCCTAATTTAACCAGAAAGCATAGACTATAGCCCATGGCTTTGATCACTTTTGGGTGTTTTTTCAATTCCCTTAAAAATTAATGCAATTTTGAAATGGGTCAATTTTGGCCCATTTTGGGAAAAAAGCATGGACTATAGCCCATGGTTTTGCTCAATTTTGGGTATTTTTAGGTATTTTTTGACTTCCCTTCAAAATTCACTCTTTTTGGAAAAGTGTCTATTTTGGACTATTTTGGCCAAAAAGCATGGACTATAGCCCATGGTTTTGATCACTTTTGGGTGTTTTTTTTTTACTTTTCTCAAAAATTATCCCATGTTGAAAAAGGGTCTATTTTGGGCAATTTTGGCCAAAAAGCATTGACTATAGCCCATGG